TTGAAGACAAGAGCTCACAGCAATATTATATGATTTATTGACTTCCTCGGAGGAATGCTCGGAAAAGATGTAATATTATTTGAGGACACTGCTGATAAACATTTGTCCAAGCTAATTAAATACATAAATGCTGGGGCCGGAGGAAAAAAATCCTGCAAAACAAACTTTGCACTTGATTTGATTAGAGAACTTTTCAAATTGACATTTCTGCATCAATCTTTGGCAAGTTTCTGTTTTTGCTACTCACAGTTACATTGCTATAGTGTTTTTGGTAAATCTAGGTAAATATTTCAATCATTCTTTTTTCTCATTTGAATTCTGAAGATCCCGGGACTCTTCTGACAATTCATTTAATTCTCTAGTTTGCCATCTGTAGCAGATTATCAGTTACGCCCATTACAGCCCTAACTGAAAACGCTAATTCAGCCTTCTAGAGATGCACTTTAAATGCATGTAGTCCTCAGCTTACGACCACAATTGAGCCACAAATTTCTGTTGCTAAATGAAACATTTGTTGCCCCATTTTACAACTTTTGTTGCCACAGTGAATCACTGCAGTTATTAAGCTAGTAACATGGTTGTTAAGTGAGTCTGGATTCCCATTGACTTTGCCTATAAGAAAGCCGCAAAAGGTGATCACATGACCCCAGGACACTGCAACTGTCATAAATATCAGTCAGTTGCCAAGCATCTGAATTTTGATCAGGTGACCATGGGGATGCTGCAATGGTCATAAGTGTGAAAAACGGTCATAAGTCACATTTTTCAGTGCCATTGTAACTTTGAAGGTCACTAAATGAACTGTTGTAAGTCGAGGACTACCTGCATATAGGATATATTATGAATGTATGTATACTTGGTCCTATCCTAGAGCATTATTTATAAATATATTGCTATATGTTGGTTGTTTTAGCGCAACTAATATTTGCTTACTAGGTTGCTGTTACATTCTGAACTAATTTTATTTATTTGTAATTATTGTGAAGGATTTTTGTCTTATGCTGCATCTTAATAAGGGCACATTTATTATTATTGTCATGGATGTCCACACAGAATGCATAGAATGTTGCAAGTACACCAAGCAGTTGAAGAAGGAAAAAGGGCATTGGAAGAATATCTGAAGGACAATAAAGAAGGTGCAAGGAAGCAAGTATACCAATTTGTCAGCACTGCTGTGTTGGCATAATTCATTGCCATTATTTTCTTCCTAGCCAGGGTTTCTACTTCAGCTTGAGTCCAGTCCACTATTCCAGATGTACTGTATATCTAATGATTGGAACTGCTCAGGTCTTAAATTGCCTTGATGGTAATTCTGCCATTGAGTTTGGACTTTAAGATTTTCTTCACTCTTCAGAAGTATTCACTACTAACTTTCTTTTTGACTTCATGAAGGATGCCCAGGTGTTTGTAGTGATCATCTTCATCCAGATTCTTGATGTTATTTCCATATGGCATCTTGATTCTTTCAGTTTTTGCTATTTCCCCCCTATTGATGGTGAGGATGGCATATTTGTCCAGTCCGAACTCCACTGCAATATCTTGGCTGCATGTGTGGACAATGTTGAGCAGCAGTTCTATTTTAGATGGTATTTTACATACACCTTCAGATCGTTCATGTAGAAAAAGGTGGGATAGATGTTTTTGATGTTTGCTAGCCATGGCCTATCTAGTTTAGTATTGTTGACAGAGAAATCAATGCAATGACAAACAGTAGTGGTGAGACTGAGTCTCCTTGAAAGATTCCTCTCTTAATGTTAACCTCTCCCAGTCTATCACCATTGACCAGCAATTGTGTCTTCCATGGTGCCATTGATCTTTCCACAAAGCTTCTGATGTTTCTACTGACTTCTGTTATTACTAGGCACTTGATGATCCAGTCATATGGCAGGGAGTCAAATGCCTTCCTGTAATCGATCCACGGTACATTCAAGTTGGTCTTCCTTTTCTTGCACTTTTCCACAATCATCTTGTCAGTTAGGATTTGATCTTTTGTTCCTCTGCAGTTTGAGTGGTTTCTTTTCTGCTCGGATGGAAAGAGCTTGTTTTCAACGAGATGCTTTCAACTACTACACCAGTTAGCAATTTGAAAGTTGTTAGTAAGGAGGTAATTGACCTGTAGTTGCCTGGTGCTATCCTTTTTGTTAGATCAGGGATCTTCAAACTTGGCGCTTTTAGGACTTGTGGACTTCAACTCCCAGAATTCCTCAGCCACGCAGTTCATCTTCATCTGTTGTTAACCAAATCTTGATCTTTCTTGCTTTTTTTCTCCATCATTTCTTTCATTCCAAGTTCTTACATTTCACCTTCATCTTTATTCTTATCCATCTCCTTTATCTGTTCTTATTGTATTTCTTTGGGGTGTCCTATAACTGCACCCAGAACTGCACTGTTTCTTCTTTGTTATGTGTGGACAGGTCTAAGTCTCTATTGATGGAATGGTAGAAATCTTTCTGATTTGACTAAAATTGGAGATTTTGTCCATAGTGAGCAATTTGAAATTTTCTGTTGCTGATCTCCTTGGCTATATCCGTTATTTCCTGTTTTATTATTTCCAGTGCTTCCTTGATTTTCCTTTTTTCCTAAGTGATATTTCTTGATCAGATATTCTTTGGTCTTCTTGTTCTTCAGTCTTTCCCCCCCCCCCCACACACAATCTTTTCTAGCTTGCTTGCATCTGATCTTAACATGCTGATCTTATTTTCCAACCTGCTCTTCCATTTTGGTAGTGCACTTTTTGTGTTTGTGTGTTTTTGGTATCCATAGAGTGACCCTTATTAATCTGGATGATAACTGATCTGGGGTGGGTTTCTGTAAATTACATTTCACCATATTGTTTATGGGAGAGACGTTCTGGACCTGAACTTCTGGAATAGCTCTCATCCTCCTCAGAGCATGCAAGCCCCACAACTACATCAAGATAGTGATTCTAAGTACTAGAATTATTCACATTTAGAAAATTTAAGAAATCTGGCAGTTTCACATTTGACAAATGGACAGATTAAGGAGACCTACTCTAATTCAGGTTTTCTACTATGTGAGAATTTCAAACTCTGGTTCTGGTTATAGAAGGTATTAAAAATATTTGCAGCAATTGAGATGACCCCTTGGTTTAAGATCGGTGCCGTTTGAGCAATGAAATTTAGGCCAATCACTCTCCCTTAGCTTAACCATGCTAAATGAAGGTATTAAAGGATAATTCATCTTTTTCCTAATATAAAGTGTGTGTTATCTAACTGAAGAACTTTTATATACTTTGAAATGATTAGATGCAGGTTGATGCCCTCCCAACCCTGTGCATTTATTACAACCACTATCTGAAGAGAGTTTTCCACAACAGCCAAATATGTTCAGTCAACCCACAAAGCAGGACAAAGCCTGGCAACCTCCTGGCTGTTAACGGGTGGTTTTCCAAAAATCTGCTATCAGCCCTTGCTTTGCCAAATGTTCTGCAAACCAAATGAGGGGACTCCTGGCTTAGAGAGCATCCATATAAGAGGAAAAGGGTGTGAAGAGATGAAAACATTCGTGTGTTTTCCTAGGAAAGAAAACCAGCTTTATTGACAGAACCATAGGGAGATTTGGTGCACATTTGTGCGTATGTGCGCCAGCCTATGAGATTTCGGTGCCTGAGGCACAGCAGTAAACAATACCTGCCAGCCTACCCACCCACCTCCTCCCAGGATCCTTTGCTGTGTGGCAGAAGGACAAACAAGTTATTTTGGCAATGGAAGAAAACATACTGCTCTCTCTCCGTGGCTGTAAAAGTAAAATGCTACATTAATAAACAATTTACCACCTTTTTGTAATGCCAAAATCCTGCTGCCTTAGGTGGCCACTTAATTTTACCTAGTGGTAAAATCAGCCACGTTGTGTATGCTATAAGTGCTTGGAAAGACATGTTTGTGTCTATGATTACTATTTCTGTGTTAATGCTGTCAAATGTGTATCTGAAATCAATCAGATTTCTCATGATGTGAGAAGCCTGTGACTTCTCCTCTCTCTTTTCTAACTAATTAGCAGTCACTCTGCATTTTGGGCAAATGAGGCCATGAAAAGATTATTATTTTTTTTTGACACTCGCTCTTGACACCATTTCTCTACTAGTACCACTTTTATTTCGGCAGAGAAAAATACTGAGATACTATGCATCCTACAGGTAGTCCTGGACTTAAAATTGTTTGTTTAGTGACTGTTCAAAGTTACAATGGCCCTGAAAAAAAGTGACTTGTGACTGTTTTTCACACTTACGACTGTTGCAGCAGCCCCATGACCAAAATTCAGACCCTTGGCCACTGACTCACACCTTTATAATGGTTGCAGTGTCCCGGGGTCCTGTGATCATCTTTTGCAACCTTCTGACAAGCAAAGTCAACAGGGAAGCCAGATTCACTTAACAAATGCAGTGATTCACTTATAACCAACGTGGCAAGACAGGTCGTAAAAGGAGGCAAAACTCATTTAACAAATACCAGGCTTAGCAACAGAAATTTTGGGCTTGTGGTCGTAAGTCGAGGACCACTGTATAGATTACACTTCCAATTCATATCCACATTGTCTTCTGGCAACTAAGACAGCTTTGAGGAGCACAATTAAACTGGGGAAATGGTCCAGGACATGCTCCTTTATGCTTGCCAAGGCATGGGGACAAGAATGGGGGGGGGGAATCTCAAAGACTAGAGCTGAAGAAATATTTTGGTGGGGACGGAAGGAAATTGATGGGAGACCCAGGACAGTGCTTGGATTTGCATCTGAGTTCTGTGAGAAGTTGGAGGATTTGCCTGCTGTTTTCAGCCATCTCAAGGTCTGTTCCTAAACCAAGTTCTGACAAATTTCTGCAATATCCCTAACTTGGGCTTTTATCTCTTGTCTCAGTCTCCCCACTTCCACACAGACAAGACACAAAACAACATAACCTTAGCTGGGTTTGGCTAGACCAAGATGCAAAATATGGCCAGCCTACGTCTTCTTATCTCTTTACTCACTGCTGCTTCCAAACTGACCTTGAGGAGCAATTGAGGGATTTCCAGCGAAACGGTCTTCTGCTGGGCCAGGGTCTTTTTTAGTTCCTTGACATGGGCTGTGATGAAAAAATGCAGGGAAGCTTGTTCCACCAAGTCGTTCATGTACTCACTTGACTCAATGGACACCACAAGAACTTCACCTGACAGGAGGAACAAACAGAGAAAGTATGCTACTTCAGATTACATCAGATGCAGTAAAGATGTTGCTTGAAGAAGGGCCCAATGCTTTTCAATATGCAAAGAAACATAGCTGTAGTTCCCTTTCCTTGCTATGATTGAACAGAATGGCCTGACCTGTATTTGGTTCACTTCTACCCACACAACCAACAGCATTTACCTTAAACTGCTGCTACTAGCAAAAGTAGAACACCTGAAATAGGAAATATTTCATTAAAGAACTACTTTGGATCTTTTCCCTTTACCGTTACACTGTTTTCCACACATTCTTCGCTCTGCAGACAAAATTCCTTCAGCCAATCCCAATCCAACCTTTGTTTCCGTTCCCAGTTAATGCAAATCACATGTTTTCTTTGTGAGAACAAAGTCTAACTGCTTCTGTACATTTATTTACTAAACAAATTTATATAGCCACCCAACTCATACACAGTGATTCAGGAAGTGTACAACATTTGGAGGCTATCCTTTGACAGTGCTGGAATAAAAAGGAAATACTACTTTAAAGCTGAAACAGTTAAAGATTCTTTATGTGTTTCATTCATTCAATTGGGGATGAGATGGAGGCAACATCATGAGGACATGGCAGAAAAAGGAAGACTGCCAGGTACAAGAAAAGTCACTTTTCTTGCAAAGACAAATTTGTCTTGCATTGAGCCACTAATATTGTGTGTATGTGTGTGTGTGTGTGTGTGTGTGTGTGTGTGTATGAGAGAGAGAGAGAGAGAGAGAGAGAGAGAGAGAGAGAGAGAGAGAGAGAGAGAGAGAGAGAGAGAGAGAGATTCTTGTATTTGTTCTTTTGGAATTTGGAAAATAGCTTACTAATAAATCTTTCTTGAAGCTACTGAGATCACCTGGAGAAATCTGACATTTAAAAGTAATCTCAGAAGGGCATTTAAGAGTACCAATGTTCTCAAAGAGCAGTGCTTGTTCCAGCAAAGGGGAAAAAAAGGTGCTACAGGGCTCTCCAAAATATTTCAGTCCCCTCAGAGCATTTCGATCCTCTCTTGTAATAGAAAGCAGAGCCTGATTCTACTCCTGTCCTATATCTGCATTTCACCTTGTCTATGGTTTACCATGATTTATTTATTCAGCCCATTTCCCCATGTTTATATGATATACTGAACCATAAACTGACAAGTTAAAGTTATAGCAGGACATCTTGGAGGTAAGGCATCTGAGGCTAATCTGGATTTTTGCAGGCCAGCTCTGATATCCCTTGTTTGTGATTTGTCCATTAGTCTCTACCCAAGCCTACAGTCAGACTGTGGTTTGTAGAAATAGGAAGCTTGGGGACAACCAGGTGTTAATCAGGTACAATATCCAACAGCCTTGCTGTTAACTATGGTAGCTGTGCTTGCAGCAAGTTACATTTCAGCTACATCTGAAGAGCTGACTGGATGGAATATATCCTTCCTTTCTTTAAAACAACCAAGGATTCCAAAACTTTTTGGTTTCACATATTCCTCTGTCCCATACTTTGTTTCAACCACTGTTTATTGAACAAGTCCTGAGCTCCTGCCATAACCAGTAGATGTTGTTGCATGAAATGTCATTCAGTTAGACTGGGAATTGTTTTATTAACAGGCATCAAAATGCTATGGGCTATTCTGGTTTAGGCCAGGAAGTGGGCTCTTCTTAGATGTAAGAAATAAGGTGTGGACCAAAAGTCTATCTGGCCAAAGATTTTTAAAATCTATATTACAAATTGAATAAATAAGAGTGATTTCCCATATTTATTTAGCTGGGATGCTAACACCCCCCCTCCTGAACTGAATGGGCTTTACTGTACTTCTGAGTCAACATGTATTGGGAGTTGGGACCCAACTCCTGCAAACACCTCCCCAAGCAATCTTTTTGCTGTCTCCTGAACTCCTTCCAACTGTGCAACAAAAAAATTCCAAAACTTGGTAGAATGATTTTTGAGAGGAGGAATACATAAAATCTGTAGCATAAAGCCTAAAGTATTACAGTATTTAGAATCGTACTGGTAATGATTTAAAAGCTAGCCAGCTGATGTAATGTAAGATGTATGATGTAACATTGGGAATGACTCAGCAGGGTCTGTGTCTCTTTAAGAGCCTTTGTATAAAAGGGAAGGCTCTGCTGCTGTGTTCTCTCTCTTCTGTTTCCTGCTGTAACTGCTGTGTGTTGAAGTCTGCTGAATTAACACGTGTATGTATATTGTTCCTGGTGTATGATATATTGTAGATAGTGTAAGATAAACCACCATTTAATATAGACCATAGCTTTACTTTATCTCAGCACAATAAGACTATGTATGCTCTGACCTCTTATTAGAAAACATATTGGAAATCAGGGAAACCTATTAAAGAGAAGCTGGATTCTGTAGGCCTACTGGAAGTGTGTTGAGACACTGAGCTGGGCAACATCAGAAGGTACAAATCTTAACCTCTTATCTTGACAGTATTACATGTGAAGTTCTAACTCTATATTGTGAGGTTATTATATAAAAAATCGTGCTGCTTTTTTCTCCTGTTGTTCCATCCACATCAAAACAGAACTCTTGAATTCCTTCTTATTGCTATTTGCAGGCAGCCATCTGACCCAGATTTCTAAGACAATCAAAAGCTGTTTGATGTGCCTCCTCAGCTTGCAAAGGAATTACAAAAAGTATCTGTAAGTCTTAACCTTGAATAAAACTCTGGAGCAGTTGATTCTCTTGGAAAAGAGTAAAGAAATAAATGAGCTGGGTGACATGTGAATCCCATTTCAAAGTTCCAAAAAAGGAAAGTTAGGAAAACATTTCAGGTTACATTTGCACTTATATTCAGTCTTCTCTTAAACGTGGCATAAACTGACTTTCGAAATTTTCCATTAAATTTGTGCATAAAGAAATAGGACGATTTCTCCAAATGCTTCCAGGATAAGTAGAAATTTCTCAAGAGTAGAATTCCCTTCAGTTGCAATAATAATACCACAACTGAGAAAGCTGTATGGTAAGAGTTCCTTCTTTCTTTATGTTATAGCTGAAGAATGTGAAGCCAAAGAAGGAGAGCAGATTGTACAAGTAAAAATAGGGACATTCATACACGCACCATTTCCACTGTGCAACTAGATAAGCATAAGAATATCACAAAATAATTTATCCAAACAAGTTTTTTTTTGTCAGATTGAACATTAAAAACATGAAGAAAATAATATTTTCCTGGTACTAATTTACGGTAGATGTATGGCCCATTGAAGTAGTAGTAAAGTCAGTATGAGCCATACAAGATCAATCTGTAGAGGAAGGGATTATTGTTGTTATTATTAATTACATGTATGAGCTATTTACTTCCAATGGACAAGTGAAAAAATTAAAAACAAGGAAAAATATAGTAAGATAGATAAACACAAGAATCAAAGATGGCAAGGATAGCAAGAGAACCAGATGGGATGGAAAAGAGACAAAAATGCAGTCCAGGGGGATGTCACTCTCTGTCGCCAAATGCCTGGGTGAAGAGCTAAATCTTCAAAGTCCCAACAGGGTGGGGACCATCTGAATCGGGGGGGGGGAGACCTTAGTCTAGAGGGGAGGTGCTGCTACAGAGAAGACACCCTTCCAGAATGCTGATAGATGGCTTTATTTAATCAAAGAAATTTGGAGCGTATCATTCCTGCCAGTTTGAATAGGCCAGGCAGGTACAATGGAGATGGCCATTAGCCTGACACTAATGGTGTATACATTTATCACTAGGTCCACATTGTATATCTGTACAATGATTGAAATAGCATTCATACAAGAAGACTATATATAACAGCTCAGTCCAGTGACTTCTTTTCCTCTAGATCAGAGTTTGCCAACCTTTCAAGCTTTGTGGACCGGTGGGGGGGGGGAGAGGAGATGGTTTTGTGTGAACAGCAGGCAAGCATGCATGTCCCACTTTATTTGCGTGAGTGGCAGGCATGCACACACACTGCTCGCACCAATGGAGTGTGGGCACACGTGCTTACCTGCTGCTCGTGCAAGTGGAGATGTGCACTAGCGAGATCGTCCACCACTTCCACAACCTGGTTCCAAATGGCTCAAGGCCTGATAGTGGGCCGCGGCCTGGGGGTGGGGAACCCCTGCTCTAGATTTTGGCTCTAAATCCATCAACTAACATCCAATGAGCACATGATATTAGGAAAATTCAGAGCTGGAACAGGTATTCTAAAAGGATAGGGACTTCCGGTTTTGCGTGGTAGCGACCGGTTGTGGGCTTGCGGATTTTCTGCACCCCTGCGGCTAATTTTGCCCTGCCTGGGGTCCCTAAATGGGTCTAAGTCGCCCCAGAGAGGCGACAAAGAAAGAAGGGTGCTCCAGCGATTCTGGAATGGTGGCAGCCATTCTGTTCGACTTGGGGAAAATCTTCTAACTCGACAGGAGAAAGACTGACCATATTGCATTGACCAGCCCAAGCTACTAGCAACCGAAGTCCAAAAGCACTAACCAGCACAACAGTGAACAGTGTGCTTGAAACTGGGTGAGAAATTTGATCTTTTCTTTTCTATTCTACATTTGATTTCCTGGAAAAGATCCACAAGAAGCAAAATACCTCCGAAAGGGAAGGAGGGGGATTTCCGCCCCACCCTTTGACTAATGGAAGCAGCAAATTAATCTTTTTATGGAGGATCAAAATATATGGAAGTGAAATAAATATAAAACCTGAAATTTAAAACTTAAATCTGGATAAATCTAAACTTGTTTGAATGGTTAAGACTCTCATTTTAAAAATAATTGTTCATTTTGGAAATTGAAAAACAAATAGTTGCTGACACCTAGTGGTGGATGAAGACTATGACAGCTATGACTTTAATATAAGACTTGGCAAAACCTGGGAAAAGCTAATCTGTGTTTGTGACCTTTAAAGTTTTAACAAAAAGAGACAATAATACGGACTGTAGACAAAAAGAGAATTATAAATTTCAGAAAAAAAATCTTTTTTGAACTATTTGGATTACAAATATCTATTTAATTGGGACTCTAAAGCTATTTGCAGAGAAAAGAAAGGAAGAGAAAAACTCAAATTCTTGGCCATCGTGGATCAGAGACATGTAGAAAGAACATATCAAGAAAACATAAATACTTCACATAAGTATATATAGTATACTGCAACTAATTCGAACAACAATGATTTTGAACCACAAAGAAATCCAAAATAACTTTGAAAATATAAATCAATCTATTTCTAAGTTAACTTTACAACAACAAAATTCCCAGAAAACAACAATAGAGAAGGAGCAGATAAAACAGATAAATGGATATAGAATTGAGAATAGAGACTTAAAGATGGAACTTAACAAAACAAGGAAACATGATTTAATCCTAATGGAAAAAAACCTATCCCTTAAGACTACAAAATAAATCTGAGGACAAGAAAACAGATTGGATAAAATGGACTGTAGAGATGTCAGGAACATCGCAGAGAAAGGAAATGATAAGAGAAGCGGAGAGAAAGAAAAAGAAAAAGATTTTCAACAAACATGGAAAGACAGAAGCCCTGTACAAAGACACTTCACCTGATTTACTTTTTATATCTACAGCAACATTTACGAACATACAGAAACCCTTTTTGATTCAGCAAAATACATTGATTAAGAAAGATACTGGGCAAAGGAAAAAGACTAAAGTGGAAACCAAGAAAATAGATGATGGAACTTACCAGAGAGAATACTTAAAAAAGAAACATTTGTTTGAATATGGTTAAAGAAATAGAAACGTTTTGGAATATATATGTCATTCTAAGAGGGATGAATTCCCTAAAATAATACAGTATAATCAATAAAATATATTACAAAAAATAAATAAATAAAAAGGATAGGATTGATTACCACAAATCTTCTTTCTTATTGCTTATAACTTATGTTTCTTCATTTGAGTTTAGTTAGATATGGGTTACAAGGCCACCAACTGAAGGGCATAAATGAAATAATCATAAAAATCAGCAAGATTTATTTATTTTAAGACAAAGATTGATCATAGGCAAGCATATTGATTTAATTTCAAAAGACCTCCCAAAGTCAGTTAATATTATACTTAGAATGAATGTTCCTTTTCTGAGCAATCCATAAGCAAGGAGATAATGAGAAGAAAAGAGAGAGCAGAAGATGGCAGACGAGTAATAAAAGATTTATTTTTATTTCTTCCAATGAATGTTTTTATTTATTTATTTATTTTTCACATTTTTGAACTGCCATCTCCCTGAGAAGATCTCCTAGTACCCTGGCTTAAAAGTCACTTCTTGATGCTAGCAGTTTCTCAGGCTAGGACAGGCAGACCTTAATGAATTGTTCCTGAGAAACTGCTAGCATCAAGAAGTGACTTTTAAGCCAGGGTACTAGGAGATCTTCTCAGGGAGATGGCAGTTCAAAAATGTGAAAAATAAATAAATAAATAAAAACATTCATTGGAAGAAGAGGTGTTTTCAAATTTTGGTTTACAAGGAGGAAAGTAATTAAATAATAGGGCAAAACAAGATTCCTAGTTATATTCATTGGCGTGTTCTTGGATAAAACAAATATAGCAATATTATTAGTGTGTGTCAAAGAATCTTTTTTTTTAACTCACAGAATATTTTCCCTTTGAAGATACTGATACATTCACATCTACAGACTTTGTCACATGCACAAACCTTTTTCACATGCTTTGGGGGAATCAAATAATCATATTCTAAAAGGAAACCTATTTTGCCCTAATTTTCCATAATTTTTTCATAAACACAGCTCCTATTCATAATCATACCTGCATTATCTACCATATGTAAAATATATCTGAAGCCATGCATAGGATTTGCTATATAATTAATTTTAAAAAGTTATAAAAACCCCTCTCAATATATCTATATACACTGTGTGTAATTAAAATACAGTTAAACACTTTGTCCATCTGTGGATATGAGTTTCAGTACAAAAAAAATCTACACAGTACAGTAGTGTTTATTTTTAGATTGCCAAAAAATATTACACCTAACAAGCCAAGAATGTTACACACTATAGCCTTCACGATAGGTTAAATAAACATGGAGCAGATGTGGGAGACAGTATCCAGCTTTTAAGTGTTCTGCTGTGCAAATAAATATTTAATGTGAAATGGGACCTTCGCAAGACCATCAGTCAGACTCCTATTTAATTTCTAATTAGTGTGTTTTAAATTTATAATTAGTATAATTCCAAGCACTGGTACATAGATCTGGATTTAATAATCAGGTATTTTCAAGCCCCTTCTCGAACCTCACCATCAAAATTAACACTTTATATGACTGGAGGTAACCAGGCCTGCCTTCTTCCTGTTCTGAATCAATTTATTAAGCAGTTGGTAGCTACATCATTTTTAGATTTCATTAAATTCCCCAGAGTGGTGCTATGTCAGACCACTGTGTGAAATTTAAAACCAGGGGCATTTCGCTTCCATTTTTTTTTAACTGGTGTAGATCTGTTCTTTTCTGCCACTGCACACCAGCCAACAGCAATTCTGATGATTTTGAGAGAGATGAGTGTTTTGTATACTAGACAGCACTTTGAGCTTGGAATCGGTCCTATTACATTTGGCCTACAAAGTCAAAAACTCCAGGCTACGAATATCTGAAAGATCACTGCTTCCCTATTATGGACATAAAACAAATTTATGGCAAAGCTTTTTGGGGGTGAAAACGCTGGACTGGGTCATGGCCTAGATGCCAGAACTGAATGAAATCTGCTGATCGTTCCTTTTCTAAAATCTTAGAAAACAAAGTTCATGTCTTTGAAAGAAATGCCTCTACAATAGACTGCATTTCTGAGGCCATTATGGCAGGAAAGTTCTATGGTAAAAAAATAATAGTCATACCGGGGTTTTCTTAAGGGAGAATTTAAAACTATATAAATCAGCAGAAGCTGGTTATTGGTTTTTTTTTTAAAAAAAAGCTGTATAAATTAAAAAGACCTGTTAAAGTAAACAGTTGTACTTTTCTTGCCAGAATTTCAAAAGCAAAATGGATGAGAATACGGCATTGCAAATGTAAACACTAAAAGATATTGAATTGTTAGTGATCTACATATCCCTAACTCCCATATGAGTTTTCATTCAGTTCAGGCCATCATTTTATAAGTTCCCTTCTGCTTTCTGAAATTAGATAAGGAGCTACAAGAACACTTTCTCTACTGATTCAGACCGTTTGAATATTCTTCTCAAGATTTGGTATAATAAAATATCAGGAAATCTATTTTTTCCCCTTACCAGTCTTTGTGCAATTCTATTTCTAGAGTCTTAAACCATTTTAATCAATTAATTAGATATTTTCTTGTTGATTATGGAAGCTTTTTATGCAATGTCAATTTCTGCAAAGATTCTGCAAAATACATTTTGAATAAATACATCCTTCTCCTCTTATTGTATCTTTAAGAAGTGGTGGGCTACATTAATCTTATCCGATCTGTTGCTCTCCTGATCTTTGGATTTCAATTCTCGTAATGCTAAATCAGCATGGTCAAATAATGAGGGATTATAGAAGCTGAAGTCCAACATTCCTAGACAATGCCAAGTTGGCTTCCACATTTGAATAAGTTGGATTAGAGGTCAAGAGACAATTATTGTCTTACCTTTCATGGGTTCCAGGGTCAAATCAAAGTTGTCATTCTTGAATTCAGTCTTTGCGACTCCAGTATAAAATACAACATTGCCAGAAATATAAGCTGTTGCAGTGTAGCGTCTTGATGTTTTGTTTTGGAAAGTAATTATGACATTGAAATCACTGCCAAGAACTGAATCTTCTATCACAACATCCATATCAACCTCCGTATTGGATGAGATATCCTCGGTTACAGATTTTTTAACACCATACATTAAGGCAGTCTCCAGGGCCAGTCTTTCTTCTTCTGAGCCTGCAAAATAAATAGATATTGGCTGCCACAATATGTAAATTATCAGCCACTAACTTACAACAAGGCTAAAATTTAGCTTATCCGTGGCTTGATACCTAGAGATTTGCATATTCTCTGCTACATCGTGATCTAATTTGCAGTCTACAAGCAGAAATAGGCCGAAGGATACTTGAGATCAGAATCTTCTCCCCATCTTCCCTCAGTATTTTATTGGGCCTTCTGGTATAACAAAAAAGCCCACCAATGACTAATTTAAAAGAAACCAATTTTAAAAGGTGGTTTCTTGCAATTAACAAAGCTGTCAATCCCAGTGCTGGGTTCAAATAAATGATGAACTAAAAGTTAATATTCTCAATACTGGAAGCAGGAGAGAAGTGAAATGAAAATTTGTGAGTGGAAGGTTGCTTTAGCTTGTATGTGTCATGCAAAAACTAGGAACATAATTCAATTTTCATATTCCCTGATCATATCTCACATGTGATTTGGGAGTTAAAATCCAAAGGCTACTTGGCAGTCTAGTAATGTGCTAAACGATGTTAGTGCATGATATGTGAATATGATCAATATAGCTTGTATTGCTGCTTTATATCCCATTTGAAAATTAGCGGGTGGCACAGGAAACATAACAACAAATAGTCTGAATTATTCTTGTATATGGCACAGAGTCAAAAATATGTGAACAAGGCTTGTGAACAAATATTATAGAATATATCAGAATTTTACATGAACCAAGAAACTGTAATTAACAGCTTAGAAAACAACTTCAAACTGTGACTTTAAATATGGTTTTTTATGAACCTCTTAGCTGTAATTTTTTCATGGATGAAATGGGAGCTTGTTAACTGGAAGCTTCTTTATTTCTTTATACATTACCACAAAGACTAAACATTCAGAAGGGTCAGAGTAGAGAATAAGGGATACAATTCTATGGATAGTTTTGTGATTCTGTTTTGTATCATTTTAGAATAGGACTCAGGCATGACTGAGTGAGGTTTTTTTCTAATTGTTTATGTTCGTTAAAAACTTCAGCATAGTCTGTACCTTTCCTTTTAATTTCTGTGGTTCTCCATTCCCTGTTTTCCTCCTCATAGGAATTCTTGCAATCCCAACTTCCTGTCTCCTGGGCTGAAGCTAACTCTTAGACTCTCACTCCTCATTCAGTACAGATTGAGAATTCTGTGTTTAAATGCATGCAAGCATGCATGCATGTATGTATGTATGTATTTGCCACCCGTATCCAGCAAATCCGGGCAGCTTATGTTGTCTCCCTTCTGAATCCTTTCTATAAAATTTATCTCCATTCTCCATTCCACTCTTCTCCTAAAACCAAGTGCTCTAGAAACATGCAGCTGTGGTCATAACTACTGCAAAAAGTGCTCATGTTAACATATCCTGTTCATAACTCACTGGCACTTTTAAACATAAAAAAGAGATCTCTTGGTAGTCTTTATTTGCCTTTTTTAAAAACGCACTTTCTATCACATAACTGTCTGTCATAGCAACTACTCTTTCATTTATTTATTTACAAGCCCCACCAGAAAAATGCACACAAATGCACATACTGAAAAACATGGATTATCTTTGGGGGCAATACTAGCCATTTGTACAGAGTAAGAATATGGAGAATTTTGGTTACTCCCCAGCAGTTTAGGTCAACATGGTTTTCATTGTTTTTGAGACTGCTACAGTGGGAGACAACTCTGGGTGATTTCAAACTACTTTGTGAGAAACTAGGAAATAAATATAAAGGTAGTGTCAATGTTATATAAATGAATGGCTTTTTATTTAGATTTGCCACATAATTACCTTCTGGAAATTTGTAATGCTCAGTGATGTCCTTCATTTTATTTGAACCCATTTCTTTAGTCAAAATTAATGTTCCAATCTGGGTTTTGTCAATATGTTGAATCACTCTAGACCCATTCTTCATTACTTTTGAATATATAACATCACTGTTCACCTTAAACAAAACATCAGGGGAAAAAATCAGATGTGTTTCTGGTTAGCTCAAAACTCTGTAGGTTAGCGTCTCTCAGATTTTGGGCCACAAATGAATTCTGACCACATTTTAGGTAAAAATTAGGTAAAATTAGGTAAACATCTATCTACCCACGGGCAATCATTCGAAAATTCATTGCTCTTGTAATGCTACAATCCAAGTAAGGTGTTTTTTTCCCCTCTAGGGGATGGTTTCATTAGGTTTTTACAAGCCTTGTGACTAGATTATCCAATGACGTTTGATGGAAATTTTCTTAGGAGATTTCCCTTTGTATCTCTGCATGAGCTACTGCTTTGGACAGTAGCTTATGCAGAGATGTAGTCAGCAGGCAAAATGAACATGTAAGCTTCTCTGAAAATGGCGTTTTTTAAATTCTCACAAATGCTAAATCAGAGGTCCCCAATCTTTGGGGCACCAGGGACCGGTTCCTTGGAGAGAGGTTTTTCTGTGGACTGGAGGATGCATGGTTTTGTGTGCTGCCTGCATCCCACGGATGGGGCTTTGTTTGTGCGGACCGGTTGCTGGCATGCCGCGGCTCGGTATCGGTCCATGGACCGGGGGTTGGGAACCCCTGTGCTAAATAATTTATGAGAAACAATTTATACTTTAGATGAGGGTCCACTTAAGCCTTAACTTCTAGATAGCAAATATATTATCCTGGAGGTTTTGTTCAGTGCTGAATACAAGTAATCCTTCCTTAACGACAGTAATTGGGACCAGAATTTCTGTTGCTAAGTGACACAGTTGTAAAGTGCCATGTCAGGTGACCGCACCACTTTTAACAGAAATTCTGCCATTTTCAGTTGCTGTCATTAGGCGAATCCCATGCCATGCAACCATCATGTGGTTGCGATTTGCGACTTCCTGCAAGCTTCCTTATTGTCTTTGCTTGTAGAAATCTGGCAAAGAATGTTAGCAAATGATGGCTATGTGACTGTGGGATGCTCCAACATTGCAATTACAAGATGGTCGCCAAGTACTTGGATTGTAATCATATGACCCAGGGTTGCTGCAATGGCAGTAAGCACGAGAACTTGTTGTACCACCATGGTCACTGAGCAAGTGGTTCTTAGGCAAGGACCTACCTTTGCACTGTGAAATAGTATTACTGTATGGTAGTTACAGAGTTATAAGTAGCATTTTTGTTGTAATAGATTAGAAATCAACAAGCTTTTCAAATGCTAAATGACCAACAAATAAAAATAAATTTTAAGTACATTAATAGTAAAGAATTACTTCAATCTTAATCATATTTTACTGAACCCATTTGAAGAAAAGCCCCTTGCATAAATGCATACCTCTGCAAAAACAAAAGGTGCATCAAACTGGAAATAGACATGTCCATGCTTGATGGCTTGAACAGAAGCTGGACCGCAACGATACATGCCTGTATGTGAACAATCAAATTGTGATCCAAGTTCTAACTCTTGTGCTATTATCCAGAACCCAGCCATCCTCCTTGCTTAGTTACTGCTGATGTCCAATCTTTTAATACTATCTACTCAATCTGCTGTCAGCCTGAGACCATGGCAAAGGCAAAGGTTTGAAAAGTTACATAATTAAAGCAAAATCAATATGAATCAAATTTACAAACATTTATTCGAGTTCTTTGACAGCCATATACTAATATGCTAATATTTGTCTCTCCCAAAGAATAAAAAAAAATTCTCATTACACATACATGATCTCTAAGATATATATATACATTCTGAAAAAAATGCTCAGGTCATAGATGCATTTAACTACATGATAATTAATAGTTGTTCTTTCCCCTTCCTTCCTTCCTTCCTTCCTTCCTTCCTTCCTTCCTTCCTTCCTTCCTTCCTTCCTTCCTTCCTTCCTTCCTTCCTTCCTTCCTTCCTTCTTTCTTTCTTTCTTTCTTTCTTTCTTTCTTTCTTTCTTTCTTTCTTTCTTTCTCTGATTCGAAGTTCTGCAGAAAGCATCCTGCTTAGGAAACACATAGGACAAAAGTTTTTGCTACTTGACTTCCAACCTTCATCACAACAAACAAAAATAAATTTAGTGACCCTGTACCCCCTTTAAAGTTACAAACATTTATCTTTTCATCCCATATCCCATCTCTTATCTGTGAACAAATCAATAAAACAATATCTTTTAAGTCCTAGTGTCCATAAAGAGTTGCCAGAAGTAGCAACATTTCTTGTTTTAACTTTGATCAAACAAACCAAATTTATATTCCTTCTTTTTATTTCAAACAGTCTTAATCTTTAATTCATTCAAAAACTCTCATAGGATTCGATGTTTCTTCATTTCTTCTTTGTCCCATTGCACAGAGTTCTTCAAGGTTTTAACAAGCCTCTTTTGTAAATCCAGTAAGAAAAAAGAATCCAAGTCACTCTCTTGGTCTGTCATTTGTATTTTCATTTTTAAAGTTCAAAATCCCAGCCAGTTCCTTTTGTAGATCCAATAAAATAACCTTTTCTAAATCATTTTCTTGACCTGCCAAATGTCAAATCTACTTTTAATACCATCTCTATTTTGTCAGATAAAATTTGTTCTAATCTATCAATGGCATCTTTTGGACATAAGGAGACATCGTTACTGATATCATTAATATTGTGGCTACTGTTTTCTGATTCCATTGTTCAAAAGTCTCTTTCAGTATTTTCACTGTTGTAACAATTTGCAACATTTTATAGCCTTGCAAAGCTTTCTTCTATCTAAAAATGTTGGTCTCTCTCTCTCTATGTCCAGTTTTTGAAATCAAGAAATTGCTTATCTTTGTTTGGTCTTGTAAAAACCAACACAGAATATTTCCTGCAAGTAGGTGTTTATATTCTTTATAATTAATTCCATAATCTTATTGTAAAAGTTTCAATATTCCAATTTTAACTGCTTATAACATTTTAAGATCGAAATCTTATTTAGCTTTCTGCTGCTTATTTCTGATTCTTTACATTTTTCAGTTTAGGATTAACATTTTCTTTCATTCAGGATTGAGGGAAGACTTATCCAGCAGTTTCAAACTTGTCAGTCCAAAGATCTTGAACAGTTTAGAAGTACCGTATTTATTCGAGTATAACGCGCAAAATTTTCTACCCAAAAAAGGAATCAAAGTTTGGGTGCGCGTTATACTCGAGGTATCTCCTCTGGGCTCCCGGCGGGTTCGCGGTGACGGGCTCCAGAAAGGTAGGCAGCGGCGCGGAGAAGCGAGGGGAGGGGGGTGGGCCGGTCTGCTGCTGGGAGGCTGCGGCGGTGCTCGGCTGCTTCTGGGCTCCCGTCTGCGGCTCCAGCGAGGGAGGCAGCGGCCCNGGGGGGTGGGCCGTTCTGCTGCTGGGAGGCTGCGGCGCGGAGAAGCGAGGGGAATGCTGGGAGGCTGCGGCGCGGAGAAGCGAGGAGAGGGGGGTGGGCACGAGGGCTGGGGTGGGGTGACGCTCACGCGAGGGCGAAGAAAAAAAAAACGTCCCCTCGTCGCGTACAGGGGGCGGCCCAAACTGGCGAGATGCACTTCCCTTTCCTGTTAGATGGCAACTCAGGGTATGAGGAGAAAACGTTCTGCATATGACGCTTCATTTTTAATCGAAAATTAGGGGTGCGCGTTATACACGTGTGCGCGTTATACTCGAATAAATACGGTAGTTATGAGCAATTTCCAAAAATGATTAGAAAGTGAGGTTTGTGAAGTTAGTGTCCTTTAAATGTCTCCACTGTGGTTTATTTGTTTGGTGAACTAGACTTAGTCTCAGTTTAATTGAGGGACCTAAGTTCTGATATTATAAGAATAGGAAAATGGGTAAAAAATATTATATTTCCAGGTCGCAACTATTCTGCTACATGAGAATTTCTTTAAATAACAAGCCATCTTTGTTCCTGAGCTGGAGCAAAGAAAGGAAAAGAGATGCTTACCATCACTGTTTTCTTGTGGAGTACTATCTACAGCTTGCCAGCCACCAAAACCAACAGGAAGGTCAGGTCGGGACATCCAAGCTTCATTCCAGCAATGATAGTTCCTTTACATAAGAAAATAACAACAAAGGGATATTCTGGACTCCAGATGTGCCATTTATGAACAATGAATAGAAATAACAATACTTGTTCTTATAAAGATTTCTCTCTCTCCCTCCTTAGATCATCCATCTATCTATGACACTCCTAAAGGAATGACAAAATCTTTCTCAACTACAGCTTGCCAGCCACCAAAACCAACAGGAAGGTCAGGTTGGGACATCCAAGTTCCATTCCAGGAATGATAGTTCCTTTACGTAAGAAAATAACAACAAAGGAGTATTCTGGACTCCAGATGTGCCATTTATTAACACTGAATAGGAATAACAATACTTGTTCTTATAAAGATTTCTCTCTCTCTCCCTCTCTCTCTCCCTCTCTCCCTATATCATCTATCTATCTATGACACTACTAAAGGAATGACAAAATCTTTCTCAACTCATTTTTATAAATTTAATAATGTTTTTGGAACCTGATTTTCAGGTTTGTTTGTTTTTTCCCCTTCCATAGATGGAGATTTGGTTCCTTGAAACAATGCTGCTTAATGCTAGTTTGCTGATACAGTGATCCCATTCAAAATATTGCCTTCCACTTACTGACAAATCTTGGCACGTGACTATTTCAGTATTTTATAGCTTTGAGAAACATCTAGTGCAGTCTTCCCATCCTGGCTAGGAATTCTTCAAATTATAGTCCTAGTAGCACTGGTATAGCTCAGATTGGGCAAGACTACGCTAGAGCATATTGAATCAATTGTGTGCATTCACTTGTGTTGCAGGAAGAATTTTTATACCAATGTCTATGTGAGGATTAATGCTATGTACTGGGAGTCTTGGTAGTCTCCAGTTGTGCATGTCTTAACAGTTAGGCTTCTAGTGCAGGGGCACCAAACTTGGCAACTTTAAGACTTGTGGACTTCAACCCTCAGAATTCCCCAGGCTGAGGAATTCTGGGACTTGAAATCCACAAGTCTTAAAGTTGCCAAGTTTGGAGACCCCAGAGCATTATTTTATTACTGCTGCCCAAATACTTTTATTCTTACACATGAAGAAAAGGAGGTCCCTTATCAGGAAGACTTAGGATGTTTCTCCTCAACAACCTGTGTGTATTCATTTTTTAGAACAGGGGAAGCATCTGTAAAGAAGGAATACACTAGCAGGGGAAAGCATTATTCCTTCCAAATTTGTAACAGCAGCAACTCCTACCTCAAAAATAGCTAACTCAATAAATAAGATACTGAATTGAGAGACACAACCCAGTGAGCTGTCTGATACAACCCAGGTGTCATATCCCTTTGCGGCAGTTGAAGGCCTGCTGCATGAACAATGCCTCTTCCCAAACTATAAAGCCAACCTGCGCACAACTACTGCGGATTAAAATAATGAGGAACATTGGCCCTTGAACAGAGTGCCAAAAGGTTCTTTGAAGTACTGAAGTTCAGACATTGAAAGGAGCCCTCTGGGATTTGAATCTGGAATTTTCAGATGCAACTTGGACCACCTTCAAAGGCTCAGGAGTGGTCAGCCTGATCAGGGAGGGCGAGAAAAGTTGTAAGGTTGCAGGTTGGGACCTTTCTCGGCTGCAATATTTTTCTCTTTTGCAGGTGCCTTTCAATTCTGGCTTTCTCTCTTTGTCGGTTGGTTAATCTTTAAGAGAAGCACCACCCTAGCTCAATGCATTTCTCATTTGCTCAGACTATTTCATAGGAAAAGAGAAAGGGAGGGCTTATAAGTGTCTTTCCGTTGGTTTATCGGTGTAATAGAAAGAGTGTAACTATGTTGAGAAAAATCTGCAAGATAAGCTTCAAGAAATTTTTGAGCTCTGACAGAATAATGCAGGAAGAGGGAATGCAGCAATTTCCTGTTTAAAAAGATGTTCCCTGCCAGTACACAAAAAGCTAATTAGATTATTGAAGTAACTATTAGTAGCAACATTTCAGCAAATACAAAATTTGTTAAACGGAGACTATTTAATTAATAATGGGTAGAAGAAGAAAGGAGAACAGCAAGAAATCTGACTCTTGACTAACAAGGCATTTCAAAATAGAAACGAAAGCTGTGATAAGACAGAAAATTGTCAGTCAGAGGAGTTAAGAAAGCAGGACGCCAAGGAAAAAAGGATTTATCCAAAAAAAATTGATACAAACTATATTTTTTTAAAACATAGCTGGGAATGGTGTGATGCCAAATTATTCTCACAGAGCCTTGCTGATGGTGCCTAATAGGGGAAAACTGCTTAGAGGTGTGAACCTATAAACATGTTCCAATAAAAGAAAATATATGTAGCTCAGGGTTGAACTGTAGAGTCCTTGAGCATCTAGGACTCCACAAACCTGTTCTTCATCAAGGCAGAGATCTATACCTCTTTCTCTTGTAATTCAGCGTATACAACCATCTTTGACTTTGATGACCAGTACTTATCACAATTCTGTTGTTCCTATTTTGTCAGATCTGAATGAGTTACTGTTCTTATTTTTCATCCTTAACATTTTGATGGCATTTTCCTGTTCATAAATGCAGATTTCATCACAAAGGCCAGAAAAATCAGATAAATCATTGACCTATGATTTATTACTTGCTGCTTATACGTGCATTGTGAGCTTATGCACCGGAGACAAATCCCTTGTGTTGTCTGATCACACTTGGTCCATAAATCTATTCTATTCTATTCTATTCTATTCTATTCTATTCTATTCTATTCTATTCTATTCTATTCTATTCTATTCTAAAAATTGGACTTATTTTTTATTAACCAAAAAACTATTAATAATGACCAAACCATTCACCATGTTTAATAATGTAGCTCGGAGTTTGTGAGTATTTTAGACTAAAACATGGAAGGTTTTAGGAATCTTAAACCCGACATAAAAAACACTACAGCAAAGATTGATCTGAATCAAAAATCCCAAATGAGAACATTTTAAAATATGTATATGAATGATTATGGATTACTTCTCTCTATGTAAAGACATTTTAATATACATACAATAAATATTTTAATAGTAAAAACCTATTTTTGAGAAATCTAAAATATATTGTTTGATACACGTTCTTTAACAAATATTTAAGATTGTTTTAAAGAACTGGTTCAGGATATAGAAAACTATTAACAACCCATCAACATCATGCTGCAAAACAGTTTAAAGCAAGCTTTCCATTGAAGATAAAAAGCAAAGTAAATGAAGAAAAAGGACCCAGAGGAAAAAAATCGAAAAAAAGCTCCCACCATAAGTTAAATTAATGCTTGCCCCCAGAGGTTATGTGCATCATGTAGCAATAAATATACCATGAAGAGATGAGATTAAAGGGAAAGTTCAAAAAGTAATCAAGCCCCCGGAAGGCAGCATAGGGAGAAGGCTATTTAAAACACCATGGAGCTTTTGCTTAGCTGATGTAGATTTGCAGCATTCATTTCCTTTTATAGTGGAATAGACTTGGGGAAAAAAAACAATGTTATGGAATAAGTCCACTGAGTGAAAAATACATGAAAATATGAAAGATACCTAAAGATGGAGCTTCAGCAAGCTGTTGTCTCCTGTGACTTAAAGGGAATGGACAGAGGTAGTACATGACAGGGCTCTGAACACTGTAGATTTGGGAAGGAACTACATATTGGCTTCAGCAGGGAATAAACTATTAGTAAGCTTTGCTCCAGTAAAAAAAAAGGGACTCTAAATGCAACAACATAGTAAATAATTGGGGAAAGGAAGGAAAAGGCTTTCTCAATGGTGGCACCCTGGCTATTAAATTAACTTTTGAAAGAGGCTCATCTGGCAGCTACGTTAATCTTGCTGCAGCACCAAGTTAATATCATTCTGTTTTCCCAACCATTTCCATCTATTCCAGCTTGAAACAGTTGCTGTTTGTTTTTATGCAGCGCTCATATGCTTTATGATGGAATATATTTTAATGGATATATTTTTACATTCAATTCCTTTTATGAGCTGCCAGGAAAACTTGATTATAGGCAGCCTTTAACATGATAAATAAGCAGGACAGTAACAGAATAGGGGAAGTAAGTAAAGGCTGCCCCCGCCCTCAACAACATATTTATGTGCCGAATGCATATTTTATTCCTATCTCCTTTCCTCTGGGAGCTACTATTAAAATGAGAATTATACAAACGATAAATAGTACATTATATTACTATTCATTTGTTTTCCATTTTATGCTCTCTGTAGGTTCAGGCAGACAAAATCTGCCTTGCTTCCTCCTCTCTGATTAGAGTAATGGCAAAGGACCATACCAAAATGAGCCGTACGAGTAAGAATATATAAGCACAGTAACTGAGCTTTGAAATAACCATAAAAATATTCACAATGTTGCTGAAACTGTGAGAGAGACTTGCTGTATTTTTGTATTATAATAAGCCAGAATTTCTGTGAAAGGGCAGGCTTGCTAGTGTCTGCTACTCAGCTGCTCCTTCTTGTCTGCTAAGCTAAAGTGTGACCTTACATGGTTTGTTTATTAATGACATGGAAACTCCTACAAAGCCAGAGTTAGAAGCTATGGTTTATTCTTGCTTCTGACTTCTATTCGGAGTGGGAGAGAAATGCCAGGGATTTTGACTGACACATCAGAAAAGACCTCTGCATTTGATTAAGGCATTCTTGTGGGCAAGATGATTCAACAGGCACAATCAAGGAGGCCCAGAATATTTGTGGAAGTTAAATCAGAATCCTCAGAGTTTCACATCAGACTGAGCTCTGCTATATACAATCCATACGGCAACATCTTCACAAGCTGCATAAATAGGGAACCTACAAATACACTCTACTCTACTCTACTCTACTCTACTCTGCTCTACTCTGCTCTACTCTACTCTACTCTACTCTACTCTACTCTACTCTACTCTACTCTACTCTACTCTACTCTACTCTACTCTACTCTGATAGATGACACACAATGGATGGAACCATTACAGCTCTCTGTATAATTTTATGACTAGACTTGTGTGGTAGTAGATAGAACTGATGAATAATTTCTGGTGTAATGTTTTGTTACATGTTAGCTCTAAATCATCCTACTGCGGTCTATATGGTTGTCTTCTCCCAGCGTCCCTCCAGATGTCACTGAGCATCAATTTCCTTTGCCCTTGATGATTGGATATCCTAGGAATATAGGGAAGCAGCAACATGTCCCTCATTCCATTCTATCTCATTGTATAAGACAGAAGACTAAGACTCACTTATGGTCACATAATTATTACAAAATCAACTGCAATTCTCCCGCAAATATACCAGATTGAATCTCTTGTGAGTTTGGAGTCCACCTTTCCATATTCATCCACAAACACATCCATCTGTAAGTTGGCATCATTATCATGAGCTGAAGAATAGTTAGTGATGACTCGTCCAGGAATTCCTAGAGTCCTCAAAACTGTACAAATAGAAAATAGCAAGTGTTTAAGACAATGTGATATTACAGGATAAACTGAACATATACATATGTTTATACTGGTTTATACCTCTTCCGGAGATCGAAGGCTGTGTTATTGAACAAATATGCCCGGGATTCGCATTTTTGCAGCTATCAAGGATATGTATATATGTATGTATATATGTATGTATGTATGTATGTATGTATATATAATGTGTGCCAATTTTCTCAACATGGTACTCTCAAAGATATTTATTTGGGACAATTCAATAGTTTTCAGTCAGCTTCTGGAATGATAGGGCAATCTTCACATTAAAACTAAAACCAGTTTGGTGTAGTGGTTAAGGCATCCGGCTAGAAATCAGGAGATTGTGAGCTCCAGTCCTACCTAGGGACAAAGCCAGCTGGCTGACCTTGGGCCAATTACTTTTCCTCAGCCCTAGGAAGCAGACAGTGGCAAACCACTTCTGAAAAACCTTGGCAAGAAAACTGCAAGGATTTCTCCAGGCAAGCTCTGAGAATTGGATATGCTTGAACGAAGGGAAAAAAAAGAACTGTGGCAGCTAGCATAAAACATTAAGCCATTGTCTGATGTAGTCCACCCCACTATCTCTATAGTACTGTAAATATTTATACGCAAGGGCTGTTGTATGAACTGAATTTTTATGCCACTTTTCACCAAAGAATGGCGCTCAAAGCAGTGAATATTATATCCTTATTAACATGGGACTAGGTATCTAAGGCTTGACTGGTCCCATGGGAATCGGCACTGCCTTTGAGAGTCTCTTTGGTGCTCTCTTTGTTGGTTTATAGAGGAGCCAGTTACCTAGCCTTGTGCTTGTATAAACTGATTGGCAGGAGACGTAAAGTTTCAGGCAATCTTCTTCCCAGAGCTCTGCTAACAGGAATTAGGGAGCCCTCAATTATATTCCCAAAGCATCCATTTCATTTGCATGAATTCATTTTTTAATTGTCAACTGCATCTACATCTTGAGGGGTGAGAAAGATAACACGTTAGCTGTCCTTAACAGGCTTACAGATATGACCTGCTGCTAATTTAAAGGGAAATGGAAAGAAAGTCTGATGAAATAGCTGCCACACCAAGGAGTGTGATAGAGAATCAGAAACCACACTGGGGGCTGCTTAAAAAGCCTGCTAAGACCTCTGAGATTTGTTTTTGACAACCCTGCAGTAATTCATCTTTTGTAGCCTATGATGGCTACAGTGCTTCATGAAGAAGAGTAACACTGCGCATTTATTTTAACGGTTTGATGACAAATTACCTGGATACCTCTACTAGCACATGCACTTATTGATTATGCTTAATACAAATGCCTTCCAACATTTCCAGCACACAAGCCCTCGGGGCTCATTGGAAATAATTCAGCTGACAAGTTCAAGATTAATAGCTTTGCTCTTTCTTTTTTGGGATGTTTTAGCATATTTAATAGATGACTGTCCCCAATTTTTCGATATGGTAACCTTGGAAAGCTAAATAATTGAACTGGGAAAATGTTAGATGCTTTAAAGAACTGAAAACTGAAGCCAGAACTAATTGATGTACGACTGGCTATCTAACCTGATGCTCCTCAGATGCATTGTGACCACAACTTCCAGAGTTCCCATTTCGCACAGATAATGGTTGATAGAGAACTCTGGAATTTGTGAACATCACACATCTGGACAGCACAAAAGCAAATGGGTTCCACCTGCTTATATATAAAGTTTGCATTTTTCTATTTTCTGCCATCAAGTTACATGCCTTCAGCTTCTGTGTTTTCACCTTTCGGTCTACCTGTTCAAAGTATTTGCTTGCTCTTAAGCACTCAGCCTAACAAAAGGAAAGAGGTAAGAATCATGGCCTTTTTATTTGGTGGGTTTACATCAGGAGTCTTCAAACTTGGCCCTTTTATGACTTGTGGACTTCAACTCCCAGAATTCCTCAGCCAGCGTGCCTGGCTGAGGAATTCTGGGAGTTGAAGTCCACAAGTCATAAAAGGGCCAAGTTTGAAGACCCCTGGTTTACATGCTTCATTTCTTGAAGTTCCTGTTCTTTGGAAATGGAAAGATGAAAATATTCTATACCAGTCTTTCCCAGCCAATGAAAGTGCTGGCTACAAATGCACATTGAATCCAATATATGTAAGCAGCAACAGGTAGGAAGAGATTATTTAACACAAAGCAATTTTTCTTCCAGAGACATAAACATAATTTGCATCTTCTTTTCTTATTTTTTAAAACTCTTCATATAGCGGTTGAAAAGCAAACAGAGTAGGATTGTTTTAAAAAACTTATAACTGTTTAAAATACATATTTGAACACATGGCTGGATCGTTATCCAAAAATATTTATGGAAATCTACTGAGGATGCCAATGGGAGTGGGTGTCTCCCACTGAATAAAATGGACTAATTCTTCATTTGACAATTGCACAATTTCACTGCAGAAGATTATTAGAGTATTATAGATTAGTTTTCATATGCAACTACAGGGGAGGGCACATTAGTCATACATATCTATATATAGTTATCTGGCAGCATCTATGAATACTGGCAAGAATGTAATATAAGGGATAAATATGCAGGCTGGAATTCTGCCAGCTGGGATAAAAACCAAGTGGTTTTTTTTTACTGTATATATCTTTCACATGAGAAAATATACATACATATACAAAAATGTACACTCCAACATCTTCACTTTCAAAAATAAGTTGATGTCTGACATCATTAGCTCTCTGTCATATCACTTTACAAAAACAAAGACAAAGATTTCCAGATTTTACCTCCAGAATTTTAGAATCAGTAGTTTATACATATGTTATTCAGCAGGTAAATCTTCAATAAATTCAAGTTCAAATTCAGAATAGAAGGGAAGGGATCTTGAAGGTCTTCTAGTCCAACCCCCTGCTCAAGCAAGAGACCCTACTATTTCAGACAATTGGCTGTCCAATCTCTTCTTAAAAACCTCCAGTGATGAAGCACCAACAACGTCTGAAGGCAAGCTATTCCACTGGTTAATTGTTCTCACTGTTAGGAAGTTTCTCCTTAATTCCAGGTTGCTTCTCTCCTGGATTAGTTTCTCTCCATTGTTTCTTGTCTTGCCTTCTGGTGCTTTGGGAAATAAGTTGACCCTCACTTCTTTGTGGCAGGCCCTCAAATACTGGGACACTGTTATCATGTCATCCCGTAGTCCTAGACTATGGAAGGAAATTGTTCCTCTCCTTATAACACCCAGGTACCCTCCAAATTGGCCCTGCTTAAAGGAACTCCAGAATATGGAGTTGCTACAGAAAAAAAAAACTATGGAAATTTTGTTCTGCATAGCACAATAAGGTAGGTAGAACACAATACTTCCTTTCGGAGGGGAAAGCCAATGTATATGACCCATAGCCCATGCAGGTAATTACATCTTTATATTCTTTTGTGAGTACTAGAGTACTAGATTTAATTTTGAGGAAAGTAATCAGTTAATATTTTAGCTAGCTTGCTAGCTGGCCTTAGTGAAGCCATTCTCTCCTAGGTTTGTGTTTATAATATTCAGTGAAATAAGTTTATAACTGAGTGAGGCACTGAACGTGAATACCATGTTTCCTAGTAATACATACTATGAAAAACAGATGGAGTGTTTTTATTTAATGATGGAATAAAAATAATTTTTGTCTGCATTTTGACATGAACTTTTGCAGTTCTCATTTCCTGAACAATAATTAATTGGAACACAAGAAGTACACAAAATCTGTACTTCTCCAGATTTTAAGACACTCAAGAGAATATACTAAAGTAATAACTGGAAGGGGGAGACATGGTATGAAGCTACAAACAGGCCTTAACATGGAAAGAGGGCAAGCTACTAGTTCACTTCCATCCCTCACAGGCTGAAGTCTAATCTAGGAAGATTAGATGGGTGGCTCAGGAATTCTGGGAGTTGAAGTCCACAAGTCATAAAGGGTCCTGTTCTTCAGTGCCAAGTCAGCTGATGATTAAAAAAAATCTATTTTCTAGGATTTGCTATTTGAAGAAAATGCTATTTGGGCATCTTTTGCCAAGAACCAACTCTGTCTATGGATTGCAGAGTGGAAACATGATGTGGTTCGTGACCTGTAGAATTTCACCTCTGATATATTCTCAATTTTGAGTGTATGCTGTATTTGTGTTGCCAGGACAGTAAAAATGTATTGCTGGTGTACTCTTCATCCTTCTGCCTATTGTCATATTGACTATCTAGGGGTTGTTGTTGTTTTGGAAGGTTCCTTATCATGGAGTTTTCAATATTCATGTTGAATCAAATTTGCAGACTCAAAGGCATCTCAGAATTCAATGGCCCCTGATCTGTCCTAACTAGTATCTGACTTAGTTCTTTTGAAGATGAGGTTGATACTCTGTTCAGGTAAAGCTGATGCTTTGAAAGTACATGAACTCTGGGCAGTTTCATTATCATGAACAGACCATTCCCTTGTCAGTGTTAACTGACAATCAGTTCTTCCTGTTAGATTATGTCTAATAGATAGAACTGAGAATTTGTTTAACACCTAGCTGTTGACATTACAAGCTTTGGAATAAGATGCCAAGAGTATGCTGATGCCACCCACTCCAAGAAAGCAATTGTTGGATGTTGCGTAATTCAATAACATGTTTAATCAGAGAGAACAAACAGAAATTTAAATCCAGACAAAGCACATTAGTCAATCTAAATTAGATTTGGGGTTTAAGGTTCAGTGAGATTGGATGAAATTGCCCTCTCCTTAAAAAAAACGATGGCCACAGTTTGGTGCCTCTTGATTCTAAACTCTTGCTGAATATGCAGATGATTATAGGGTGTCTGCACTGAAAGACCTTAATTTATGGCCAAATATTTGATGGGCAAAATTTAATATCAATGTCTAATTTTTTTACTAACAATCATTTGGCAATCAATCAGTGCAATTTTAAAATTCTAGTTGGCTTAGGAGCTGACTATCTGTGGGAATATCAAGATTATGATCACATCTGGCCACCAAATCCTGCAGAAGATGCAACTGTGTGTCAAAGGTTCAGTTCTCTATCCTGTTTCCTACATAATTCCTAGCTTATAAAATGCACTTCCTCTGTATTTAGGAAATTTGTAAATAAATATTTTTCTGCTGGATTTTTAATTGTTTATTTTAAGGGGCTTTTATACTTTTTGTATTTTGTATTTTAATCAAGGGTAAGCAGTTATTGATAAATATTTGAGCAGAGATCAATCCATTAATAAAGCATAAAATGTACTTATGTTGAAGAAACTTAGGAAACATGGGGAAATTTACTCCTTTGCCTGATATATAGGAATGAAGAAATGTACAATAGAACAAGCTATTGGGAGAGAAGAAAAGTAGGAATAGGGCTGGCGTTTTATTTTGTTTTTAGGTTCGGTTAATTCCAAACTTAGTGTGCACTACAATTCCATTAGTACAATGCATATTAAATATTTTTTAACAGCTCTGAGGAACTGTAAACCCCACTGAATTATGACTTTTATCATCCCTCATGATTGGCATACTTCTGAAGCTGCCAGAAGGTACAGTTCAATGACACCTAGAAGATGCCAGATCCTCAGCTCTATATAAACCTTAATTGTTATATTTTAAACAGAGATTAATTATACTCTTGGTACTACATACATATTAATAATATTAAATATCAAAAGGTGCTGGGGGAAAATCTCATATTTAGAAAGGACATCATTGTATTAATAATATCATTCTTTGTTGCACATTTAGTCTCATACTTACAAGTGTTGAAAACGCCAGCAAAGACCCAGCACTGCCCATATCGCACTGGCTCCTTAGTACTATAATACTCCAATAGAATGTCTACACTTCCTGTCCAGGAAGATGGTGGCACTCCATATTCATAAATGTTGTCCCAAGATCCATAAACTACACCTTTATCATCTTGAGCATTGATCTGAAGAATAAATAAATAGAGTCATTGTTGATGTTAATCTCCTATAGACCAAATATATTTAACCTATGTCAATTATAAGTTACCATAAAATGCCAGAGTGATGTTAGAATAATTACCTTAAGAAAACAAAGAAGGAACAAAGTTTAACATTTTGATTCAAATGGGATTCTATTATTACACAAGGAGAATTGGATTATTTTGATGTTGGAAGTAAGGACGTGTGTCTAGTAATGGTGAAAGAGATTGAACTGACCCAGTTAGGTGCTTTACAATTGAATCTGAAAAGAAACGTACTTTTAAAACATACGTATTGTGCAACTACAAGGCAGTCCACATTTTTCTGGAGAAATAGAGAATGCCTACTCAACAAAACATTTTGCCTAATTGATTCTTATTAGCTCCTAAAGGCAAATCTGCGTGAGAGTCTGACTTAGCAGATATTGCTGAGTTAGCTTGGTTTGTAACCTAGCCAGAGTCTGAGCCTGTGATTCCTGAGAACATGGGGAGGATCCTCAGAACTGTTAGTTCAGTCATTTATTTATGAGTTCTATTTGCCTGGTTTGCTAAGATTTTCTGGGAAATGACAAGCAGTTGGATCCATAAAATACTAAATTCAGAGATGAAGCAGTACTGTGTTCCCTCTTTAAAAAAACAAACAAACCTATTGCTAGGTCCAATGGCTCTGGATAATTTTTATCCAACTTCCAGCTTTTTCTTTGGGGGTAAGATCAAGGAGAAGCTTATTGGATTAAGGTTCCAGAATCCCCGAGAAACAAATTGTTTGGAGCTGTTTCAGTCAAGTTGCAAGCTGGGGCATAGTATGGAGACCGTGTTTATCATATTTGTTGCTGATCTCTGGTGGAACTAGGAGTCGTCCTGGTTCTTCTTGATTCTCATGATGGCTTTTGACACAATCAATGATAGTATCTTTCTGGACTAGCTACAGAATATGGGATCAGGAGTGTTGTAGTAGTTCTTCTCCTTTCTCCATGACTAATTCCAGTCAGTAATGATGTATGACTAGAGGACCAGCCTGACACAATCTCCTAGTTGTGGGCGGTCTCAGGGCTTAACACTCTTGCCTGTCCTGTTAACATTTACATGAAATAGCTGGATGAGGTTGTCCATCAACATGGGGTCCAGTATGATTCGCACATTAAAAGTTCAGGAGTAACCTCAAGTGGTGGCATAGGTGTGTGCATTTGATGTGCATTGTTTGTCTTGGATATGGTATATTACTGTGTAATATAAATGTGTATTTTAGTTGTATGTATTGGATTGGATTTTGATTGAACAATACCCAGAGTCAGTGTGGGTTTGGCAGCCTTATAAATCTAAAAAAAATAGTAAATGTACCAAAGCCTTCATTTAATCTTGGAAGTTGTAATTGTGTAATAGGAAAAATCATATCCCATAGCATCTTTCCCTAGCCTGATATGTTGGACTTACAATTCCCAAATTCTCAACCAACATGGTTAAAATTCTGCCGCTGGGGATTTTGAGGTTTGGAGTCCCCATATACTTGAAAAGCAATGACTGGAAGGATAAACTATGCATAGATTATAAAACATCTTTTTCTGTCTGATATAATGCTTTAGAAAGAGCATGTAACAAATTCAGCTCTGTTATGTTTAAGACCACAAGCCATAATTCTACCTTCCAGGCTGTGCTGCCCATAGGGTCAAGGCATAACTGCCAGTGTAAATTCACCTGCATTTCTCTTGACAAGCTTGAGTGCACAATATAAGGACATAAAATTTAAACAAACTTGGACGGGGATATTCCTACAATAATTCCTACATTATACACTGAGGGGCTCCCTATCACTTCAAAATGGTTCTGCAATTCAGGCCCAAATCTATAATACTTCAAAAAACCAGATGTTTCTAGAAAAAGAGTATTTTACAACAAAAGAAAAAAGTGTCATCTAATTCATATTTATTCCAATGTATTCCCTCACAATCTCATCAATTTCAGCCTGTTTTCCAATCTGAGTTAAAAAGAAATAACTAGGTCCATTGTGGGTTGCCCATCACGAAAACAAGATTTTGCTTGTCTACGTTTGCTGGAGGTGAGGCTTCATGAGTTTTGCTGACTAATGACAAAATGGATAGCTATTAGTGAACTATGCATTTCCTCCCAGCAATTTGAACCAAATCAGTGGAGGTAATGCAGAAAAAGCTTCTTTACTTTCTATTGCTTTCTCCTTTGCTTGTAATTATGTTAATACTGAGCTGCTACATTCTTGTCAAATAAATCACGACTCTCATTGAAACGCTTTTGGCTGGATTAACTACTAGTTTCTAATTAGAAAATCGACGTCCTGTGAACCCTGAAGTTGGATGAGATAAGTATTTAGTAGGTCTAATGGGTTTAGGTAAAGACCCTTGGCTGTCTTGAAAAATAGGTCCACCTAGGACATGAACAAGGTGGCATTTTTATATTACAAATGTTTGTCATACACTCCAAAACCTCAATGTTGCTACCAAATCACAAACGTGGAAGATAAGAGGAAAACTGGATTAAACTTTTAATCTTCTATACTTTTTTCAGAGTAAAGTATGTTTGTGACACTATTTATGGACACCTGTAAAATACTTGCAGAAACTTTCAGTTCATTCTTACATAACAACAGGTATTACTATTGAGCATAACAAATAATAGCTTACCTCAGGGTGTTTGCTGAGTTCATGTTAATGGAGGTTGAAGATGGGGACCTCCTGATTATTAGCTACAATGCCATAGCATACTCAAGACTATATTAAAATTCTATGACATGGGTCATAGCTGGCCTTCCATACAAGGGATGAGGGTTAGGCCAATGTGATACTGGAAGGCAAAACTAAAACTGATGGTCTGGTTGGGGAAAGGTTAATAGTGGAAATCAATATATCACCATTCACATCCCATTGCAGTAAAATGGTATAGGGTTTCCTGCCTGAGCAGGGGGTTGGACTAGATGACCTCCAAGATCCCTTCCAACTTTATTATTATTATTATTATTATTATTATTATTATTATTATTATTATTATTATTATTAAATGGGAGTGCAATATGGAAATGATCTTACTTATTTTAATAAAAACAGCAATGGGGAAAATTACAGTAGGAAATGTTTATACTTTTGCCTCTGAATCTGGGCAGTACAATCTTGAAGTGATTCAAGAGCCACAAAATGGAGAAGCTTAGGAAGCCCACAAACAATATGGTGTCCCACCTCTGTTTAATTCCAAGCTATTTTATCTGAAAGTCTTGAGGGATATCCTGAAAAATATTGCTAATTAGATAAATGAAATGATAGTGAACTGAGGCGACCCAATAATTCACCAGAATAGAGATTACAAGGATGATCAGATGCCAAGAAAGGGCAGGTTTCTCATGCCTTGAACAGTAGAAGAGATCATTTGTTAGCGCAGTCCAGAAAAGTTCATCCTTCTCTCTTTAGGAAATACTGTCTGCCTGCTACAATTACCATAGGTGAATATGAAATTCATTATATTTTCTTCTGTCATCCTGTCCAATACCAACAAACTAAATTCTGTACTAAAATGCAATACTGTACTAAATCATTTAATGATTGTTAAAATTAATAGTTATGCGATGACAAATTTGATGTGATGTAAAAAGTGTTAGCGTATATAAAAGCAGGACATACGTCTATTAAATAAACGAAGTTGTGTCCATGTTTAAATAACAGTGCCATGAACTGGAGCAATTCTTTAGGTTATAGACCACAGGAATAGAGAAGATTTAACTTTCCTCACCACCAACCCAATGAAATTCTCTTCCCTAAGGTGTTGTTAGTTCACCCAGCCCAGACTAATAACAGAGGAGTTTGCTTCAGAACTGAAACAAAAGGTTAGCTCTCCCTTTCATGTTTGCACCTGACAGCGATAACAACTAGATATGGTTTGTTAAGAGATGGTTAGTGTGGGGTTCATTTGGACCAGGGGTAGGCAACCTTGGCCCTTTTATGACTCGTGGACTTCAACTCCCAGAATTCCTGAGCCAGCCAGGCTCAGGAATTCTGGGAGTTGAAGTCCACGAGTCATAAAAGAGCCAAGGTGGCCTACCCCTGATTTGGACTATAAAGAAGAGGTTTTAGTCATTTAGTGTGTTTCATGGTATTTCCAGAACTAACTCATGGTTGCTACAAAAAATAATTTTTCTAGCATTAAGTGGTTTCATGCACATATGTTTTACTGAAAGATGCAGTCTTTATGCTCCAAATGAATGGGTCTTCTATTGTGGGGAACTAAATTGTTAACTCATGCTCAGCTGCAAATGTCTCATAGTCTTCCATCCACCAAAATAAGAAGTTTAGAAAATTGTCTGAAAGATACATTTTTTTAAGAAATCTATAGAAAATTAAACTATTAATGGTTTAATAAATATTTTGCATACAGAGATAGGCTGCCCCAGGGCAAAAAAAATCTAAATATATCTAGAATTCCTTTTCTCCACTATAGGGATATTAGTCCACTATTCCTATTTACAGAAAAGCTATGGGGAAATATAACGTGCGTATATGGAATACTTTTTTATGCCACGTAGATATTTTAAATAATTTTGCCTTGGATCTTCCTATAAGGTTAGAGGGACCAGGAACAAACTTATATGGTCACGTGGTCATTCCAGGAAACCCCACAAAAAAGAAGATGAAGCAAGCCCAGCTTGGGCACACATAATGTGAACACGAGTAGCATTTTTGCTGTGAAAAAGAGGGAAAAGCCAGGAGTCCCACTCTGCTTCTGGACTAGTGAATTGGCAACCAGGTTTTGGGAGGGACTCGTCGCTCCCATGTAACGCCGTTACTGCGCGAGCTGCACTGGCTGTCGGTGGCTTTCCGGGTGCGCTTCAACCACGACTAATAGTGGAAGTTTCGCGAGGTACCGTAGCCTGGACCTATAGAGGCTCTGGCGGAAGACGGAGTCTAATGGAGGGTAGCCGGCCATGCGAGGGTGTCTCACCCAGAGGAGTCCCACGGCAGTCGGTCTGTCACGGCCGACCGCTGGGGGTCCCCCTCCCGGAAGAGGGTGGGAGCTCCCACCCTCTGGAACAAACTACCCCCAGAGATCCGGGTGATCCCGGATCTCCCTTCCTTCCGCCGCACCCTTAAGACATGGCTATTTCAACTAGCTGGACTGGCCTAAGGGGAAATTTTTAGCGGGATTTTAAAAACAATTTTAAATTACAAAGGCCAAATTTAAATATTTCATTTTAATTATGTTTTTTAACGATAGTATTGGGGTATTTTTGTATTTGTTTTTATCAGGCTGTCAGCCGCCCTGAGTCCGCAAGGAGAAGGGCGGGGTAAAAATTCAATTAATTAAATAAATAAATAAATAAATAAATAAATAAATAAACAAACTAGAGATCTTCCTTCCTCTACTTTCAATAAAGTAGAGATCTTCCTTGCCAGCTAAGTCATAAAACAGAACAAATTTACCCCATTCCTGCTATATATTTAAATAGAGTAAGAAAAAAAATCATAAATAGATTCCAAATATTGCGCAAAGTATATGCTTAGCTTACTACATACCATAGCAGAGCCAACTCGGCTGACTTTGATAGGATTCCCTCGGCCAGAAAGGTCCAGTTGAGCTCTGTCCATCAAGTATAGGCAAGCATCCAAAATACCCTCTTCAAACTAAATAACAGGGAGGAAAAACAGAAATAAGAGAATAGGTTCAATACTTATTCTGCATAGCAAAATAAACAAAAACAGGACTTCAGCAATGTTCCATGTGGGAAATGCAATCTTTCTGTATAAGAATGTTATACTTGTAATTTCAGCTGAATCAGTACAGAAAAAAAAATACAGAATGTTATATCAAGTTTTGAAGGACATAGCATAGACATAGCATTGACATTTATAACATGCTATCACGAGTAAGCAAGTGGCAGGAATATTTTCACCATAGGTAATGATGAATCTGTTGCAAAATTGTTGCTGGAAAATTTAGATTGATTTCTGCTTGTTATCTCAATTATTTTATTTATTTATTTATTTATTTATTTATTTATTTATTTATTTATTTATTTATTTATTTATTTGTTTGTTTGTTTGTTTGTTTGTTTGTTTGTTTGTTTGTTTGTTTGTATCTCAACTTTATTATTTTTACAAATACCGTATCTCAAGGCAGGGAAAACATTCAACACACCTTCCTCCTCTTATTTTCCTCACAACAACAACAATCCTATGAGATGAGTTGGGCTGAGAGAGAATGACTGGCCCAAAGTCCCCCAGCTGGCTTTCATGGCTAAGGCGGGACTGGAACTCATGTCTCCTGCTTTCTAGCCGCGATGCCTTAACCACTAGATCAAACTGGCTCTCTTGACTCAATTAACCATAGTTTAGGATATTATCTGAATCCTGAATCATTTTAAATATTTATAGTTTAAGCAAATTAGTTTTATAACCCATTATTTGAAGTTTAACAACAACAACAACAACAACAACAAAACAACAATAACAATAACAATAACAATAACAATAATAATAATAATAATAATAATAATAATAATAATAATAATAATAATAATAAAGTTGGAAGAGACCTTGGAGGTCATCTAGTCCAACCCTCTGCTCAGGCAGGAAACCCTATGCCATTTCAGACAAATGGCTGTCCAGTCTCTTCTTATAAACTTCCGGTATTGGAGAATTCACAGCTTCTGAAGGCAGGCTGTTCCACTGATTAATTGTTCTAACTGTCAGAACATTTCTCCTTAGTTCTAGGTTGCTTCTCTCTTTGATTAGTTTCCATCCGTTGCTTCTTGTCCTGCCTTCAAGTGCTTTGGAGAATAGCTTGACTTTCTCTTCTTTGTGGCAGCCCCTGAGATATTGCTTGTGACGATAGTACAGGGGGGAGCAGGAAGAGAAGTAATTTGATCTGTATGGGTTAAGGTCGTCGGAAAGGAATATACGAAACCGGAGGTCAGGGGACTAGTAGAAACAACGAGAAGAGACATGAGAAAGATCTCAGAGTTGTAGAAAAAATGTAGCACCACTGGTTAACTGGATGCAGTATTCCAAGTGTGGCCTTGTTCTGGAAAACCATAATGCACCATTGAGATTTGTTGAGTTCAGATAAAACTCCATGTTTTGGCATTATTCATGGCTGGATTGCAAAAGAAGTAGACAATCCTGAAGATAATTGTGGTTTAACCACATTACGTTAAACTATGGTTGGACATAGCATGCAAAAGCATCCATTGTCTGCCTCGACTCCATTCCAAAACCTTTGCCATTTCCAGTTTGTTTCTCTATTGATGTTATTAATACAAAGGCATGACTTTACCAAAGAATATTAATAACTTAACTCTCTTTCATGAACAAAATAGAAAATCGATGAATTTCCACAGTACACTGATAATTTTAGTAAATATTATATTATCTCTCAAAAGTAACTAAGGGAAACAATTCTGGACTTAGTTGACCTATGTTGAAATGTGGCCAGATTTGCATATCACACATAATGGTGTAGTTTGCATGGTAAATAAATGCAATTGTAAAGTTGTAAAAATTATATTTTAACTTTTAGAGCTGGTTTCATACTGCACGTGAACCTCAAAAGACTGAAAACTTCTTTAAACCATATGTGCACATATAAATGAAGTCAGAATAGATTCTTATTTTATGTTTATCTTCTAGGGCAGTGGCCCCCAAACTTTTAGGCACCAGGGATCAATTCTGTGGAGAGAGTTTTTTCCGCGGACTGGAGGGGGCATGGTTTCGGATGCTGCTTGCATCCTGTGAATGGGGCTTCGCTTATTTGTGCGTCCTGATTTCTGGCATGCAGTGGACCGGTGCTAGTCCACAGACCGGGGGTTGGGGACCCTTGTTCTAGGTTTTCATGCTACAGCATGAAACTAGAGACCAGAACAACATTCAAACACCAAGATTATTCATTTGGAACTCAGAATAGTATATACGGTCGTCTTTTTTCACAATAAACCTATTGAGGTAAGAGAGAACAACTGCTTAAAGTCACTTAGAGAATGGGGTGGTTGAACAGGGACTTGTGCAAGTCAGATATACTTTAAGATATCATAGATATAAATCATTTTCATAAGAGTTGTATATTTAAGGTTGTTATTCTTGAGTATGGATAATATAGCTTAAAGCAGGAACAGCTGCAACAGCCAGAGGTGTCAGTATTTACTCAAAATATTAAAATAAAATCACATATTCCAGGTGAACCTTAGTACTAAAATATACATATGGTATTATTGCAGAGGGCAGTAATACTTACATTCTAAGATCATCTTTTAATCATGCCCTATATAGCTAATGGCAAGCTGGAGCCCAGTAAGTCTTGCAGACACCAGCCATAGCAAGTGTCCTTAAACTATCATCTTTGAAAATGAACGCTGAAAAAAGACTTTAATTCTGGGTCCCAATGACAACCACAACAGGAATAAATAGGGGGCAGAAGTGCCTAAATAGAACAGAATTCATTATGGAAGAGCTTGCCCTATGGTACAGTTCAATTTGCTCAGAAGAAATTGCATAGCAACCAAAAAATGACATTGCCTGTTGGTAGACAATCACAGAGATGGCAGTAAAGGCACATGACTTCAATTACAAGCTGTTCTAGGTAGTGATAAACAAATGAGGTAGTTATATTTCCCTTACAGGCTGAATCCTAACAATTTTTGAAGTTTTCCTTTATGCACACAAATTTATTCTCTTCTTTCTTTAAAAATGCTAACCGTCTGAAAATAGCAACAACATATAATAGATCAAATCTGTAATTTGTTATGGTATAACACAATTGTATATGGTATAATACCCTTACAGGCTGTTTAATACACTTGCACTCAGGTAGGACAGGATGCATTTATAATTGGTCATTTCTTTGGCTATGTCATCCATAGATTTCTTATTTCTTATTTTTCTTTTTCTTTTGGTACAGAGCAGAATATCATCACTAAATAATGAGTTATAACCTCATAATATAAAGCTTAGTCCCAAAGGAGATGCTCCGAGAAATATCTTCAAAAAACTGAATGTTTATCCTCAAGGCTAACTCACATATCTCAATAGTGTACGCTTATAAATCCTGGAATAAGAATTCTGGAATAAGAATTCTCACTGGAAATCATAGTTTAGAGAGGGTGGACAGTAGTATTCATACTAATGGTGTTTTCAGTATTGAACATACAGATCCATTTTAAATGTCAAAATCAAAGAAATAACACCATTTGCCTACTAAAGCAAGATATATAATTCCATATAACTTTAATGATCCATTCCTTTATTATGCATGAGTATTCATAGACAAGGGGTTGTTCCATCAGATGCATTTTTTTATTATTATTTTCAGAGCTGTGGCTGTTCTTAAGTCTGATTGTGTAAGTTCTAGTCATCACATCAATTATGTAAGTTTAATCAATAAACATGGATTTGATGCCCAGATATTGCCAAGTGTGTTTTATAATGCATTAATCTTCTTACATTATCAACTTAGTTGGACCACATAAACAGAAGAGAATATCAGTTAGAGTATTCTCCTTTAGAAACCAGTGATCCATCAAGATGACACCAATATCTGGCAGTATCTTGTTTCCAGGTTGCACTGTGTCTTTAAACACTATGAAGAATTTACAGCTCCCTATGAGCAGGCCTATTCTAATCCTAAATTCTGCCTCTTGCAGTACATCTGTAGTGTTTATTGAAAGGTAACAACTAAGATGATATGGTAGTGTCATTGTCCAAGATAATTTCTGAACCATATCTCAATCGTCAAAATATTTAGTTTATAATTAAAGCAGCTAATTGTGGAAAACATATTTCTTTCCAGCAGTTCGAAAATATATTATTCCAGTTTCTCCTTGTTTTCTTTTATCATCTACTTTTAGTAGCAGACCTACACTTCCTTGTCATTTTTGCTTCTAACAAGTCAAAGAAGCTCTGTTGGTTCTTTTTTTTAAAACCATCCATTTCAGTCTGATGTGATTGGGTTTAGCTGATCTTTCCTTGAAGGTTTGGGTGACTGCATCTCTTTTCATCTCTTATATTTGTCCCTTTCAGTCTCTGCTTATTAGAAAACACTTTGTGCAGCCATACTGATTTCTTCTGATATCCCCATTTTTTTTTTCTCTCTGATTGACCTTGAAGAAGATCTTGAAAACGGCTTTGTTGATCTTGAAGAATCTAAGTTGGACCAGATTCAGCTGGTACTTGGATGTGAAATGCCAACGTTGTAGACTAGACTAGGAAGTTGGGGAAAAGCCATATTTTCCCCAAGTTAATTACATGGACATGTCTAATTTTTTAATGTTATATTCAATTCTGGACGAAAAAGCTAAATAACCTTATGGTCATTAACACTGACATGTTAAATCATAATTAATACTGACCTTTCTATCAGTGTTAAATTTCTATTTTTCTATCTTCAGTGGTCTAAATTATCTAAACATTAGAGTGTTAAGAATTTTTAATCAACACTGTACAAATACCACTGTATAAAAATAACACATTGAGTACATTTCACAACAATATATTATTATAAAAATATATTAAAAATGAAAAAAAACCTATGTAGATAACAGAGTCAAGTTTGACTTGATAAAGGCTTTATCTTTATCATTTTTTTCTTTTCTTGGTGTAATGGTATGCCTAGAGCCAGGGAGAGATTTACATTCTAACCATCTGAATGTTTCTCCTATATCAGCCAAGATAATGGCTTCCTTACTAGTCCACATAGGAGCCATGAGGAAGAGACCAAAGGAGTCACTACCTTAGGAGCCTGGGAATTAAATTATTTTCTCAAGGTAAAACAATATTTTCCCTAAGATTGTCGTCATGCCCTATCTTGTTTCAATCAGCCTTCAAGGTGCTGGAAGAATCTTGCTTTTAAAGAGGTTAAGTGGAGAACTTTATAGTTGGGCTAGTTTGTAACTCTTAGCTCCTAAACATTTGTTGAAGCATTCCAATACAACATATGACTGTATTGGACTACCTGGAGGAACTTGCCTGCTCAATAGAAAGTAGCTTCTGAAGTTGTTGTCCATGGTGCTACTCAGTCCTGGGTCTGCTTCTACTGTTTCATTTGGACCATTAACCTTAGGAGTCTTTGACTGGATGACAGTGATTACTCTTTAGTTTTCAGTAACACTTACACCATGTTAAGAAAGAATCTGATGGAATTGAAAAGATTCTGCATTGTACACACCCTGTCACCAGTTAGTGAAAGAAAGTGAGCAGAGGGGAGTTAACAAACAGGTACAAGAAGCTGAGATCAAGCCAATAATCAGGATTGGGGGAAAAAAAATCAGTAATTGGAGTAATCAGAGCTAAGATCAATGCTGAAGAACAGGACTGATACGAGTTTAAAAAAAACACATTTAAAAGATATTCAAAATAGAACTGGAGATCCAAAATACAAATTACATTTCATTTTCACAGCTCTTGGTATCAAATTCCAAAGTGACAATATCACTTTTCCCCAATACTTCTGCCAACATTCACTGTCAACCAATTCTTCCCTAATGGTCAGATTTCGGGAGGACAATAGTTCTTCTTGACCCTTCTTCCACCTTCTGAGAGATAGACTTGACAGCAAGACAAATCAAAACATTTATTGGATGTTCCATTTTTAGTTGAATTAGACCTCTAGCAGATGTCAAAGTAGTTGGGGTGAAAAAATTACTGCTGTAGCTTGCTTGTATAAATGTTTCATCGTTTGTTCCAGGATAATGCTTTCTAGTCAGCCTCTGCAATATCATTCGTATTTCTTCCTTTTCTTGTTGTTTTACTCAAATTTTTCAACAGGTTTTTTCATCCTCAGAATTGTGGATTTGTCTGCACATGTATGCACTGTTTTACATTTAATGATAATTTTCCTTTTTTTCTGTTTGGACTATTTGTTTTAAAAAAAATGTATTAATGGCTATATTTCATTATTTTATCATTAAGCCTAATGGTAAATTGGAGGTCTAAAAGCTAGATATTTAACATTATCTAAATCTATCTAATAAGCCTTGTGGAAAAGATATACCTCAAGGGAGCTTATAGAAGGTGTCAGATTCTAGAAAGACAGAAGACAATGTAGGTAACATGCTAGCACTATTTTATGGATTTGATGATCTTTGCAAGGAGCAGTTGGCTGCAGCAATTGACAGATTTGATCTCTAACTACCTCTTTCGCTATTTGAAATGTCCCTGATGTGCAGATGATTTAAAATATGCCTTATGCTAGATCAGGGGTAGGCAACCTTGGCTCTTTTATGACTCATGGACTTCAGCTCCCAGAATTCCTGAGCCAGCATCTACCCCTGTGCTAGATTCTGCTAAATCTGATCAAGCTTGCCAAATAGTCCATTTTCATGGTGATGAAATAAATATTATCTCTCATTAATAAAAACATAGCCCAAATTTGTTATCTTGGGTGATGGGATGGACCAAACAGAGGTGTTATGCCAAAGTGGAATATCTACATTTTGTTGGAATGAATCAATCAATCAATGAATGAATGAATTTATGCATTATTATAGGGGGGGGGAGAGGGTCAGTCAGCAAAATACAGTTGGCCTTAATGAGGACAAATGTTATTTGGGCCAGTTCCTAAAAGCTGACTGAATATGGAGTAGCAGAAAAAAGGGTGCTGTATACAGATGAGAAATCTTTTCTTGACCCTTTTCACTTGACCCTTTTCATTTTGCCAATGATTTGCATCGAGGAACTTGGCAGAGAGTCTTCCTTCTCAATACTTTTTGACCTTACCATGGCTTTTATGTAACAAATAATTTAATCCTGTTAGCCTGTTTGAACAGCTTGCAGGGGTTAGATCTGTCTACTGAGTGATTCCATTTTCTAACCAGAATGAAGTGAATGGGTCATCACTGGTAATTCTAGCTTGGCCCTCTGGCAGTTGACGTATGGTATTCCGCAAGGCTTTTATCACAGAGACTGCTATCATCTATAATCTATAGGAAGCTGCTGACAGAAATCATGGAGAGCTTTGCTGATGGGCATCATAAATAAGCCAATGCTGTTTCCCTCAAGTTCTATATTTCATTAGCTAAGCATCAAAGACCAATTTTCTTATTTCTAAACCAGTGTACTGAGGCTGTGGTTAAATGAATGAGCTGAAATATAATCTAAACAAGGTGGAAATAAAGCTGATAAGAAGACCTAGTACTATACAGAGCAAGTCATCCTGCCTTTGACAGATGAGTCAATAAACCTTATGTCTGCTCCAAGAATTGAGAGATACTACTGGAACCTGCTTTATGCTTAGAAAAACAGTTATACTACACATATGAAAGCCAGAGGCAAGAAATCTTTCCGTGTTTTGACCCTGTATCCAGAATCTTGAGAATGATCATACTGTGCTTTACACAGGATTGACTTGAAGATGATGACAAGAAGATGATATAGACAGAAGGTTAATAGCTAACACATTTAATCACTTCTACCTTGCACTTTCTGGAAATTCTGGGATGGGATCCAGTTTCTATGGATATTGTTCCACTTAGGGTACCAACAAAATTAGGAATTGAATATGCCAGAAATTGATTATTTCTTTGATTCTGAACTCTTCTCAATTAAGACCATAAAGGAGATAACAAGGCTAAAACTGAAGTTCAGTCACAATGATGAAGTGCTGTTTAGAGACCAAATTATTATCAGCTTATCTTATTTGGAAAGGATCACCACTATAGCTTGAACCTGCTGGTCCAACTTTTTTTATAGATGTCCTCCCTATCTAGTTATCTTCCAAAGAGCTTTTCTTCTTTCACTGCTGATAGTTACCCATTAATCTGAAAATTAGAATAGAACAGTAGATTGCGGAAACCTAGTCTGAACAATTTGGGACCCATTGCATGTTTTATTCAGTTAGAAAATTATGCCAAGTTGCTTCTTCAAAAGAGGTTGAAACTGCTGAATACCTGTCATAATCACCGTACATGTTTATTTACGTATTAGATACGTAAAAGAGTTCAACACTTTCTCTTCCTTTCGTTCTCCACAAGATGAACTCTGTGAGATAGATTGGGCTGAGGATAAATAACTTGTCCAATGTTGCCCAGTGAGGTTCTGTAATTGAACACAGACTAAAAGCTAAGTGTTCCTACTTGTTATCCAGCACTTTCACCACTACTCCACACTGGGTGTCCGAGTTTGAGTTGTCGACCATGATTGCTTTTGATGAGAAACAGGTAAGATGTGTTCCACTGCTATTTATATTGTGATGAGTTTGTTTGTTTTTTTAAAAAAAAAACCTTTAAAAAAATGAGAACCTGCTTTTCAATTAATATATCTCATACATTTCCTCAATTTATATTTGTCATATTCATGTGCCTCATAGATAAACCAGAAGAAAAATCTGTGATGAAATCCATATATGAAGGCGGTGGTAGTTGTTTTTCAAATAACATGGTGTGATGGTTAAGTTTAAGACTTAAAAACCAGGGGGGAAAAGCTGGGTTTTAGTCCACTCTTAGTTGGATCATCGTCAGCTCAGCTCATTGGCTGATCTGGGGCCAGACACTCAGTTCAACCTATTTCACAGTGGTGTTATTGTTGTAAGGAGGAGGAAATGGAAAGAGGAAATGTTGTGTATGCAATGTTTAGTTGTTAGAACCAAAGGTGAGATATAAATCTAACATAAACACACATATATACATCATCTGGATCGAAGTGTCCCAGACTGAGATACAGGGTCAGTCCTTTCAAACTTTTAATTCCTTTGATTAATTCTGTTATGTGTTACAGGGCAGTCAGCCATACACCCTTTCTCATTTGCCTACGTGTATTTGGTTAAGCAGGAGGGAATCAATCTGTTTGCCAGTGCAGAATTTAGGAGTGCAGCATTTAGTAGAAAAGCTATTGTTCATTTATTTCAAATGGATTTACCTGACCATAGTTCCAGCTCCTCGATCTTATATTTTTAGGGTCCCCATAGAAAATAATCCCAAGGTCATTCAGGAGATACTCTTCCCTTTCTTTTTCTTCATCCATATACACTGCATCCTCTGCATCAGAATTTTTGTTTATAAAAACAGGTTAATACATGTATTTTTCTAGGAGTAAATATCAGAATTTAATTCAGCTGAATGATATAAGAAAAGGCAGCCTTTTGATCATCTATATCATCTATAATACACATAATATATTTCGTCTTCACATCATTCTCTGAAACTGGAAATGAAGCATGCTCCAAATTAAAAACAAAAAAAGAAAAAAAAAGAAGGATCACAACTCTCAACTATTTTGAGCAAGATCTGTAAAGCGTGATTAAATTGTCACCTCTTATCAGGCACTTTATGATTCTGTGTTATTAAGCTGAAATGTCTGAGAGCCGTGAAAGCATTAAGCACCCACACCACAGATCAAAGAATTACTCTGAAACTTCGTAACTGTAATTGTGAGCAATTCCACATCAGAAGATTTAAAGGATTAACCTGTGTAGGAAGAGTTGCACATTGTGATGGGCATGAACATGGTCCCTTTTTATACAGAATATAGACTTTTAAATAGCCACTTGGTTCATGTGGTGATTGAGACACAAGGAGGAACATTTTATGATAGACAGTTCTTTCTGGTTTAGGCTGGAGATGCTGGAGAACCCCACTAGAGCTGAATTTTTAACGAATTAACCCAATTCACATTACCTAAATTACATTTTTGGATTTTGCAGGGAATATCTTAGCTCAAAAAATCTATATAAAAATATTAATATTAAGGAAAGGACTCTACATTAAGTAAATGATTGCTAGAATCTGCCTGATCAGCAGATCCAAAGTTTCTGGCTTTGACATTTTGGAATATCATGAGCTAGACATGATGCATGTCTACAAACGGAGTGCTGACCAGTAATTCCATCAGATTTGGCCAAAAAGAGCATATGTCCTTCTGAGAATATTAAAAAATATTGGCCTGAATACATTCCAAAATCAGGCATCTTAAGTTTCATTTGAAAAAATGATAATACACAGATCATTCCCACATATCAGTTGGTTTTTTAAAAAAATGATGGGTGCTTAAATATATAAAGCAAGGCAGTCTTTCAAAGAATGGCAAGATACATATACAAATAAAAATATATTGGCAATCCATTACATGGTTGAATGGAAATTTCAGCACAGTCCTGAGGAAACTGTCACTTGTTACAGGTACATCACAGCGATGGAGGAAAATATTAAACTTTCCCTCCGCAATGCTCTCTCTATCCTTGTCTTCTTTTTACTTGAAAAGTTTAGATGTGATGCATTTGGAATCATAATCTGTTTGCTCTTGTCAAAAGAAAGATTCAATAAGGCCAGGAGATTGTGGCCTCTCTCTCTCATTATCTTTTTTTCTCATTAATTATATTATATTTACCTGAAAGGAAGATTAGAGTTTCCTCAATAACGTCTACTTCAGTATGATGAATGGAGTCACCTCTCGGGTGGGGAAAATGTCTTAAATTCAGATTGTGAGGTCATCTTCCTTTTAGGTAATATTCTATTTACGCTATATTTCTATTTCTACATCTATCTATTTAAATGCAAACTTACTCAACCCGGCATCCTCTAACACTTGGACTTGAGTTTCCATGAAACTCTAATGTTAAATAGCAAAGACTGGTCATATAAAACATCTGGAAGTAATTAGTGTGCCTACCTATAAACTACACAGGATTCTGGTAACACAAGCTGAATAGTGAACATAAAGAAACTATACAATGGAACAAACTATCTGGACTTCTCAATTGCATCTCTTTAGAAAGTCAGATTAAGGTTCTTTTTGAATGAATTATAATAATACCAGTTGTGCTTAAGATGTGATGGTTATTATCATGATCATATATACACATTGTATTTGCCTTACCTTTACACCAGGGATTAAACAATATGTAAGTATCAGTGTCTGGGTTTCGTCTTGTTCTGAGAATGCCCATTGGAGTCAGCACTGCAACATACATGCGGAATTTTCCCACAATGCAGTCTGCAGCTGGCATAATATTCAAGGCCACAGTAGTGTTGGCACTGTGGGTGATCTTAGCACCCCATTTCCCACTTTCCAGCTCCTGAACCAAAGGAACACGGATGTAAGTGCCTTTGTTTTGTTGTGGGTATCGCCCTGCAGAAAAAGGGAAGAGAGTTTATTAACTTTGTGAATCAGTGTAGCAAATGAAAAGCTTCCTTTTGTTTGGATTGCCTAGCAAAATTTGGATTCACAATTTGGATATACTCAGGGGTACATCCACTATCCATTATAGCAAGAATAAGTAATGTATCAACAAGTATAATTTAGCTCTATCTCTCTCCTCAAAGTGTTTGTCTTTAACACTTTTTTACGTTTCAAAACCAAACTTACCAAGGCAAGATTTTGTTTCATTTCCACACAATATATTTCTCCATCCTAGTACGTTCCAGATTTGCAAAGATGACAGTTCCCAGAATTCTAAGCCAGTATCTGCTAAGAATTTTATGACTTTTCCCCCAACACATTTGAAGGACACAGGTTGGTCTAGGCTACCACTAAATAAGAAACTGAGTTTGGAGTATGGAGTAGTATGGTAGTAGGGAGAACCATTTTATTTTGACAGAACGCTGATAAAAAGAACCCAGGAAATGTAGATCACAAAAACGTAATCTGTATTTTAATGACTTAACCCAGGAATAAGATGCAATCAGATGTATCAAAAGCAACAACCCAAGAGAGAGGATAGATAGAGTTAAGGATGGAATCTAAATACTGAATGCAAATTCATTTTTATTAAACATGAATGTTTTTAATACTGGGTTTCACTTGTGGTTTAACCAAATGGCAAACCGACCTACAAATAAAAGCTTTTGTGAAAGGAAAAGAAAAAGGCAACTTTCTATAGGGGTCAAGCCCACATAGCTAGCCAACTCAAAAAGTGAGACTACATCTGTTTATAATAAACATAATCTTGAAAATTGTGAAAGTAAGTTCCCAAGCAGGCTTAAATCAAACCAATTAAGATGGAGTCTTTTTGAAGCATTTCCTTCTCAGGTTTCCCACATCTGGCTGACCTACCTCTTACACCAATCAACCCTTCTGCTGACTCCTACACTCTCTCACGCTTGGGGAGAATGTGATCTGGGGTCTATTAAATGTATCCTTTAAGATTTGCTGTTAACCCATTGACTTGGTAGTGCCTCAAACAGGCATGCTGTCCAGAAGCATCTGTAATTATAAGTCCTGATATGCTCTCTTAAGAGGGTCTTCTGCCTTTTCTGCCACTGTTCCTTGGAGTTGCCTTCCATGACTTTTCATTTCCTTCTGCTAATCATTCCTCAAAATTCCCCATTTTTGGAGCATCACTCAGAGCTTGGCAATAATTTTTTCTTTAGAAGCTCTGGAGCTGATAGTGAAGAGTCAAGGATAGGACTCAGAGAGGTTTTTTTTTTTTTTACTGATGTTACAGATATCATCAGCCCTAATTATAGAGATCAACTATTGTAGAATCATACAATCAATTCCATTATTTGTAACAAGTGCAGAATCTAAATTTTATTTATATTTCTTCCATTCTTACATGATAATGGGCTTCTTAAAGTTTGTTTCTCAGCCTTCAATGTGGAGGGTGCCTGTACTTTGTTTTGATAATGCTCCTGTCTGACTTGGGCGCTTGCCCCCTAGTTTTGCCATCTTTTGCCTTTACACCAGGGGTCTTCAAACTTGGCCCTTTTATGACTTGTGGACTTCAACTCCCAGAATTCCTCAGCCAGGCATGCTGGCTGAGGAATTCTGGGAGTTGAAGTCCACAAGTCATAAAAGGACCAAGTTTGAAGACCCCTGCTTTACACCAACTGAGCCACTTAGTTTCTAAGTCCCACTAAACTAAGCTTACTATCTAACCTAAGTCCCTGCAACACAACTAACCACTCAACCCAGTTATTATTTTCTCTGATTGGCCCCATCTCCACTGCTTTCATCTTTCATCTATTATTGCCTGTTCTCTTCTACTTTGTAAAGTTTTGCAGGGAAGGAGGTGGAAAGAAAGATGAACAATAAGCGTCACAGACTGCATTAAGCTACAAGTTTTGGCTTTAAATGTTATGTAAACCCAGCACTATGATTTATAAATCTTGATTTATGGTTGAATGAGTTGTGTGTAGCCAGGTGGTAGCTTATTCAGTAACTAAAATAAACCATGGGTTTAAAATAAACCATGGAAAAGGCCTCTGCCGCCCGGATATATGGCTGCAGAGCAGTTTCATGCCCCCCCCCCACAGCTGATCCAGGCTTCGGAAGCCTTTTCTAAGCCTCCGGAACCCGAATCCATGGCCACAGAGCAATTTTGCTCCTCCCGTGCAGCCCGATCCAACCTCCAAAGGCCCGGAAAATGCCTCCAGAGCAAAGATCTATGGCCGTGTAGTGATTTTGTGGTCCCCTGTAGCCTGATCTGGACTAGTTTCTTCTTCCCCCCCCCAGCTCCGTAAAATTTGAATTGCTAACAAAGAATTAAGGGAGAACTGGGATAGCTATTTCAAACCTTATTTGGTTTTCATCAGCCAGACATACCCTTCTGAGATTCGAACCTGGGCTGTCTGCATGTTAAGCAGAGATGTTAGCCACTAGGCCACAGGCTCTTTCTCACTTTGTTAGCTACAAGAGACAGGGGAAGAGGATGAATGCTNTAGCTATCCCAGTTCTCCCTTAATTCTTTGTTAGCAATTCAAATTTTGGAACACATATGATGTCGCAGTTAAGCGACTGCTGCCTGTGGATGGCTCTAGGTTGAGCTGATACAGGCAAAAGACTTCTCTTTCCCATATTTGGGCCGACAGGGTGCTCTAAAAGAAAAAAGCATTCATATATATATATATATATATATATATATATATATATATATATATATATATATATAACTGATTCTACTTTGTACTAATATTATTCATTATATTTCTCCATTCTTTCAGTCCTTACAAATTATCCATGCAACTATTACATTCATACATATCTACTCAGTTTCTCAGTCCAAAACATATCACAATCAGCATAGAAATGTTCACATCCATTCACATCTCCAACTAGCAACCCTCTAACATTTACCATAAGCAGGGCTTTTTTTCTCATAGAACGGCCAGAACGGAGTTCCGGCACCTTTTTTGGATGGAACCTTGTAGGGTAGGCAAGGCGGGTTGTATGACGTGTGTGAGTTCCGGCACCTTTTTTTTTTTTTTTAAGAAAAAAAGCACTGATCATAAGCATTCTTGAAACAATTGATCCATATAAGCAACAAAGGGGACATCATATATCCTTGTCTTACTCTCTGACAGTTTTGGATCATTTGCTAAGCTTTCTTTTTATTCTCTCCATGCTTCACTTTCAACATATGCCACTCGTATCATATTCAGCAACCAACCTTTAACTCCAATTTCGTGCAAAAACTCTGCAATTCCTACCTATCGTCTAAATCAGAAAATGTACAATATGTTTTTTCTCATAAATATATTTTTCTCCATGACACTTGAAGAACAATAGTCTATTCTGCACAACCTATGACCAGCACAAAATCACAATGTACTTCCCAAATAGCATTTATTGTCATGTCTTGTACTCTTTGGATAAAAATTGTGCTAATATTTTCCCCAACACACCTAACAAATTAACCTCCCTTCCATTCATTCTTGCTACCTTTCCCTTGATCTAGGACAGGGGTAGGCAACCTTGGCTCTTTTATGACTCGTGGACTTCAACTCCCAGAATTCCTGAGAGTCCACGAGTCATAAAAGAGCCAAGGTTGCCTACCCCTGGTCTAGGAGTACGATAATGGTATTCTTCCAATTGTCAGGTACTGGTATAGTTTTCACACATATATTAAACATGTTATACATGTCACTCCATAAATAAATCATGTCTATTTTTCAGGGCCATCACATATGGGTTCCATATTTTTATTTTATTTCCATGTGAGTTCCAGTGCCCTCCTGGAAATATAGATTTCTGATGCTATTCCTTAGATTTCCAGTATTGTTTCCCACTTCCTATTAAAGAATTAAAAGAATCTAAAAATAAAAAAATAAAAACAAAATCAGACTGGGCAAGAAGCCTGGGTGGTTTCAAAAGGCTGTCAATGTATTTATGTTTTAATTTTTATCCCACCTATTATACAAAAAAGATCAGAATCGTGCATGCTATGGTATACTTTGTGATACTCTATGGAAGTGGAAAGTTGGGCTTTGGCGAAGAAGGATGGGAAACTATTGACACTTTCGGACTTTTGGTGTTGCCGAAAACACCTGAGAATACCAAAACAAACTTAAAGCAAACAAAAACCTGGATCCACAAGCATTCTCACTCAAAACATATATGACCAGATGCAAATTATCCTACTTCAGGCAGATTATGGGAAGGCCTAGCTATCTGGAGAAGGCTCTAATGCAGGGAAAAGTAGAAGAAAAGAGAAGAAAAGGATGAGCGCAACAGCAAAATGTATGGCTTCAGTTACAGTAGTGCTGGTGCATTGTTGGAAGACCTGAAAGATATTGTCATGGTTAAAATCTCCTGTATATGTTCTTTAAAAAAAAAACAGTGACCTAATGTTACATAATCAATCAATCATTATATAAATGGACCCCCAGATCAGCTGACACAAACCTCTGTGCTTTTGGGTTTACCTCTGAAATAGCACAGTTTTGTAAGGGTAGCCTTGTCTTCCTCATGTCAAGATTCAACTTAATTCTCTCATACCTAAGTATAGTGAACTGGGAAGTGGGAGTTCCTGTCAATACAGATTTATCTAACCTGCAGCTATAGAAGAAACATAGCAAGCTACACTGTGCTAAGGCAATTAACTTGTGAAATGAAAATTGCTGAAAGCCACAGATCAGTGTGCCCAGGAAACCTAGATTTTGCCTCATTGTTGCCTTTGCCTATGGAAGGGTCCTACATTTTTAAAATATTATGGAGGAAGAGAGGAAGATTTAACATAGAAGCAACCTGTATAATACTGTTAGGTGTTTGTTTGTTTTTAACATTTGGGTAGTTCTTCTAAATCTGCCTAGGCTTACACAATTCTTTCAAAGACTTGATATCAGCAACTGAGGCTCTGTTTTGCATTAAAATATAAACGATGGGAAAGCAAGGCTTTCTTAGTGATGACT